TAAAGCCCACATACATCATCCCATTATGTATTATAATACCTCATCCACCAACACAGCACATTAGGCATTTGACGTCACCGGGAAAAGCGGGCTTTTCTGACGAAACACAGTCCACTTGACGTAAGATCCAAACTATTTTTGAAAAGTATATATATATATATATATGAATCGATTGCTGAAAATCAGCAATGACATCAAATCCTCGCGGAACGTAAGTTGAACGCCGTCTTCAACATGATCCCATTATTTGGGTTACGTGTCCGCATCTGACATACGAATGTCAACTTTAAGCCTTAATTACAAGGGTAAATATGATCAAGAGGAACTATGAACTGGTTCCTCAAGGCTGGACGTCGTTATTATCCTGTAATGATCTATAAAGGTAAGGTGAGGTGAAATTTGGTTTAACGTCGTGCTTGAGAATATTTCGCTCATATGACGACGTGCATGCGTGTGTATGTGTATGTGCGGCTGCTGGTACTAGCCCAGACTGAAGCTGGTTTTATAGTGCTAGCCCACGGAGATACCATGCCGCAGTGAAGCATGAATACCCCACTCAGACACATTATACTGACTCCGAGCTGACCACTCCTTGTTGTACCCATTAATGCCGAGCGTCAGGCAGGGACCAACAAGTACCATATTTTAACGTCTTTTGGTATGACGCGGTCGGGGATCAAACCCAGACCTTCCGACCACGGAGGCGGTCGATCTATAAAGGAGTGAGTGAATTAATCTACAAATGAAAGTTAGATGTAAAATATATTAACTTCTATATATTAATACATGTAATATATTTCACAATACTCCAAAACATTTGGCAATTACATTTGCTTTAATATAAACATAAAAGACACTGATAAGATAGAAGCCAACCAAATTTCAAATAATTAATATATGCATCTTCTTTTTAAGAAATGTTCTATGATGAAGTCTATTGATTGTATAACATTTCTGGTTTTTCATGGAAATATCAACAACGTGATATAGACACAATGCCTCAGTCTGCTTTCAAAGACCATTGTACTTCTCTGTGACGGATCTCCGTCAAATCACAGCTATCTGTATTCAGTCCATCCTCATAACGCAGTCAACGTGAATTCTCTTCTCATCGGTATTCAATTGTCCACACAGTGGATTCCTGAGACAATAAACCCAACTTTGGAACATTTGGCAGCAATAAAACACGAACATGAATGTCGTTTATTCATATCACTTGAAATGCATGCATAGTTTATGGGGAAATCACAAGCAATATTAAATCACATATGATTTATGTTTTTAAAAAAAATGAATGTATACATTCGGCGTGTCAGCACGGTCCTCCGTGGCGGCTATGCTTCATATAGCTGGTGTATCAAACATCGGCCTCTGATCTGTCGCTGTCAGGACTAGGACCTGAAATCCCATGGGGATTATAACCTGATTATGGACCATATTTTAATTCATACGTCAAGTATTATATATATCATGTTGCTGCCATCATGTGGCCGCCATGTGTATATAAATCTGTGGTAGTATTCTGTGGTAGTTATGTCCTGGCTGTGTGGTCTCGTGTTTGTCAATGTCGCTATGTCTGTGGTCGACAAGGAAGTGCGTGTTTTAAGCCTCCGTAAATCTAGAATGCATCAGTTTTTAGCCGCTTCAACTAAAGCAGACACGGAAATGAAGAGAGAGAGTTTCCGTTCAAGACACCAACACAGAACCGTTATGCTCGCAGGGTGAACAAGGAAGTCGCTGTCAGAAACAATACTGTAGATATAACGTGCCAGCGTATAGAGAGACTGTTACCATGTGATCAAGTCCTACCAAATCAACTTTAGTCATCTGATACTTGAAGTATTGTTACTGTCATTCTGACAGTTAAACGACATGGATTCCATATCCACAATGTCACCCATGACGCTTATTACATGATGAACGTGGCAGAGTAAAGATAATGGAGACCTCCTTTAACGAGGCCAGAACATGTATAACGAGACGTGATGCCGTCACACACGTATTCCAGTGTTGGAGCTGACAAACCAGGGTAGGCAGTATGTGTCGTAGCGAGGGTATCCGTGCACGGGGTTGAGGTATGTGTCATAGCGAGGGTATTCGTGCACGGGCAGGCAGTATGTGTCGTAGCGAGGGTATCCGTGCACGGGGGTGAGGTATGTGTCATAGCGAGGGTATTCGTGCACGGGGTTGAGGTATGTGTCATAGCGAGTGTATTCGTGCACGGGCAGGCAGTATGTGTCGTAGCGAGGGTATCCGTGCACGGGGTTGAGGTATGTGTCATAGCGAGGGTATTCGTGCACGGGCAGGCAGTATGTGTCGTAGCGAGGGTATCCGTGCACGGGGGTGAGGTATGTGTCGTAGTGAGGGTATCCGTGCACGGGGTTGAGGTATGTGTCATAGCGAGGGTATTCGTGCACGGGCAGGCAGTATGTGTCGTAGCGAGGGTATCCGTGCACAGGGTGAGGTATGTGTCATAGCGAGGGTATTCGTGCAAGGGCAGGCAGTATGTGTCGTAGCGAGGGTATCCGTGCACGGGGGTGAAGTATGTGTCATAGTGAAGGTATCCGTGACGGGGTTGAAGTATGTGTTGTAGCGAGGGTATCCGTGCACGGGCAGACAGTATATGTCGCAGTGAGGGTATCCGTGCTCAGGCGTGAAGTATATGTCGTAGTGAGGGTATCCGTGCACGGGGGTGAAGTATGTGTCATAGCGAGGGTATCCGTGCAAAGGCAGGCAGTATATGTCGCAGTCAAGGTATCCGTGCAAAGGCAGGCAGTATATGTCGCAGTCAAGGTATCCGTGAATAGGCAGACAGTATGTGTCATAGCGAGGGTATCAGTGCACAGGCAGACAGTATGTGTCGGAACGAGGGTATCAGTGCTTGGTCAGACAGTATATGTCATCGTGTGGGTATCCGTGCACGGGGGTGAAGTATGTGTCATAGCGAGGGTATCCGTGCACGAGCAGACAATACATGTCGGCACGAGGGTATCCGTGCACGGACAGACAGTATATGTCGCAGTGAAGGTATCCGTGCATGGGCAGACAGTATGTGTCGCAGTGTAGGTATCCTTGCATGGGCAGACAGTATATGTCGCAGTGAAGGTATCAGTGCACGGACAGACAGTATATGTCGCAGTGAAGGTATCTGTGCATGGGCAGACAGTATGTGTCGCAGTGTAGGTATCCTTGCATGGGCAGACAGTATATGTCGCAGTGAAGGTATCAGTGCACGGACAGACAGTATATGTCGCAGTGAAGGTATCTGTGCATGGGCAGACAGTATGTGTCGCAGTGTAGGTATCCTTGCATGGGCAGACAGTATATGTCGCAGTGAAGGTATCAGTGCACGGGCAGACAGTATATGTCGTAGCGAGGGTATCCATGCACGGGCAGACAGTATATGTCGTAGCGAGCGTATCCATGCACGGGCAGACAGTATATGTCGTAGCGAGGGTATCCATGCACGGGGCACACAGTATGTGTCGCAGTGAAGGTATCCGTGCACAGGGGTGAAGATGTGTCGTAGCGAGGGTATTCGTGCACGGGCAGACAGTATATGTCGTAGCAAGGGAATCCGTGCAAGCGCAGACAGTATGTGTGGTAGTGAGGGTATCTGTGCACGGGCAGACAGTATGTGTCCTAGCGAGGGTATCTGTACACGGGCAGACAGTATGTGTCCTAGCGAGGGTATCCGTGCACGGGGGTGAAGTATATGTCCTAGCGAGGGTGAGGTGAGGTGAGGTGAAAATGGGTTTTACTTCGTGCTTGAAAATATTTTGCTCATATGACAACGTGCATGCGTGTGTATGTGTATGTGCGGCTGCTTGTACTAGCCCAGACTGAAGCTGGTTTTATAGTGCTAGCCCACTGAGATACCATGCCGCAGTGAAGCATGAATACCCCACTCAGACACATTATACTGACTCCGAGCTGACCAGTCCTTGTTGTACCCATTAATGCCGAGCGCCAGGCAGGGACCAACAAGTACCATATTTTAACGTCTTTTGGTATGACGCGGTCGGGGATCGAACACAGACCTTCCGCTCTCCGGGCGGACGCTCTAACCACTACACCACGGAGGCGGTCCCTAGCGAGGGTATCCGTGCACGGGCAGACAGTATATGTCGTAGCGAGGGTATCCATTCACGGGGTGAAGTATATGACGTAGCGAGGGTATTCGTTTAAGTACAGGCAGATTGGGTTGCAGTAAAGGTATTCGTTTACGGTAATCATAGACGGGGTTTCTAACTAAACGCGTTCTGTATTTATTTGTTCTTTTTAATTCTGAGGAGATTCCCCGGGAAAGCGAAAGTACTTAATAAATATTTTCAAGAATACCGCCTGCCTGAGAAGGGTAACATCAACAGTGCATTTCCCTGTCTTGTGGATAGCTCACGTCCAACAGAAAATATCCCCACATTCAATATACTCTGCAGTTATTCTTAGTTGAAAAACATGTGCCTGCACACGAGCCACACTAGTAGATTAATATACATAGAAGATACTCATACATATGAACTCGTTAGGCGCCATGTATGATACAAGTGGATGAGGTTTCAATTGGACCCGATGTGTATTATTGTGATTGGAAACCACCTTATTTACCTCTCAGACACTTCTCCGGTAGTTTGGTATTCCAGTGGATATCATCTGTCAGTGGAACCAGGTTTCTTATTACTCAAATTAGTCTGTCTGTCACTACTTGGATAATATACTGCTTAAATATTTCAAAGGTCAATATCCCGAACACTGAGCTGCAAAACAGTATTCACGTCTACCTGTTGTCGGGCTCAGAGTATGAGACCGGGTCTTGCGGTCACAATTAGATTATCAGATGACGTCATTTACAAACAGACATGTAATATGTGTGAGTAACAGCTTACCCGAACTAGATTCGACAACTCGTGTAACCGGAACAACGTGTCTGGCCTGGCCAGGGATTCAGGTGTTTAACGTGGGGATGTCAAGTTGTCAAGACGGCTACTTTCTGTTTTCAGGTGAAGGCAGAGTTTCCTCGCACATTCCAAGATGAGGTTCAAGCTGAAGAAGTTCGCGTTGATTCTTGCCTTCGTTGCCTGCATCCCGTTCATCATACATATCATGGACGTATTAAAGTTCAAACCAAGAAGGTCACGACGACCAAAGATTGAGCTGCATCTGGGCCCACCCGCGAACACAGGAACCTGCGACAAATCGGTAAGTACGTGGCGTCAGTAGTGAACTGTAGTGAAGATGCACCTTCAGTTGTCTCAGCTATCCAGAGATTATACGGATGAAATGTAGATGCATATTTCCCATGTATATGCCGTAGCAGCACTCACTCCATCTCTTGTAAACTGGTGATGGGCAAACAGCAGTTCATGTACAAAGATAAAGCAGAGCAGAGCTTCTATGATCAACTGTGTTCAAAACTGATAAACTTACATACAGCTGTGAACGCAGTGTATAGAATTACACACAACTGTGAACACAGTGTATAGACTTATATGCAGCTGTTAACACAGTGTATAGACTTATATGCAGCTGTGAACACAGTGTATAGACTTACTTACAGCTGTGAACACAGTGTAAAGGCTTACATGCAGCTGTGAACAGAGTGTATAGACTTATATACAGCAGTGAACACAGTGTATAGACTTATATGCAGCTGTGAACACAGTGTATAGACTTATATACATCTATGAACACAGTGTATAGACTTATATCCAGCTGTGAACACAGTGTATAGACTTATATGCAGCTGTAAACACAGTGTAAACACAGTGTATAGACTTATATACAGCTGTGAATACAGTGTATAGACTTACATACCGCTGTGAACACAGTGTATAGACTTACATACAGCTGTGAACACAGTGTATAGACTTACATACAGCTGTAAACACAGTGTATAGACTTACATACAGCTGTGAACACAGTGTATAGACTTACATACAGCTGTGAACACAGTATATAGACATACATACGTCTGTAAACACAGTGTGTAGACTTATATGCAGCTGTGAACACAATGTATAGACTTATATGCAGCTGTGAACACAGTGTATAGACTTACATACAGCTGTGAACACAGTGTATACACAGTGTATAGACTTACATAGCATGAACAGTCTGTAAACACTGTGAACACAGTGTATAGACTAGACTTATATGCAGCTGTGAACACAGTGTATAGACTTATATGCAGCTGTGAACACAGTGTATAGACTTACATAGTATAGACTTACATACAGCTGTGCACACAGTGAATAGACTTACATACAGCTGTGAACACAGTGTATAGACTTACATACAGCTGTGAACACAGTGTATAGACTTACATACAGCTGTGAACACAGTGTATAGACATACATACAGCTGTGAACACAGTGTATAGACTTATATACCGCTGTGAACACAGTGTATAGACTTACATACAGCTGTGAACATAGTGTATAGACTTACATGCAGCTGTGAACACAGAATAGATGCTTACACACAGCTGTGAACATAGTGTATAGACTTACATGCAGCTGTGAACATAGTATGCTTAGACTTACATGCAGCTGTGAACACAGTATGTAGACTTACATGCAGCTGTGAACACAGTATATTGTACTTGCATGCAGCTGTGAACACAGTATATCAAATGACATGCAACTGTGTGTTCTTTGTTATACGTAGATACAGGGCCAATGCATCTATACACATATATCCTCTGCAGAGCATGTGTATCAAGGTGACAATGTAGATCTACACACAACTTTATACATACATTCCGCGTACAACCTTGTACACTGCATTCACGTCCACATACAACCTCGTACATTTCATTCACACGCCCACGTCACTTTACCAATGTTGTCCAAATGAACCAGTATGTAACAAGACTTTTTAGGTAATCTATTTTCTTGCATACACAATATCTTAAACCAGAAATTTATACATCGGATATGAGCATTTATATTCAGGGGATACCTCCCACATTCACCGTACACCATACAATTCGGTGTAGATGGTCCAACATTTATAAATTTCTTACAGGCCATCAGATGTACTTTTTCAATGCATTCATGTCGCTAGAATCCCCAGATCCACATACAACATTGTACTCTCCATTCACATCCATACAACCCTGTGCTCTGCATTCACATCCACATACAACCCTGTGCTCTGCATTCACATCCACATACAACCATATGCTCTGCATTCACATTCACATACAACCATGTACATCCTCCTACAACCTCCTACAAGTAATAGGCAATCACGTATAACATTGTACACGGCGTAAATATCTACACACTCCCTTGTCTATATTGTCCTGTGAGGTACCGGACGTGAAATGCATTTTTGTCAGTGTAAGAAATCCTTAATAGCAGCAGTAGAAGGTCTGTCCTCGCGTCAAGGAAGGAAGGATACCCGCATGAAAGTATTCAACATCAGTAATCCCTCAAAGTGCAAACCGAGGTAATGAATTTCCCTGAGGAAATCATAGATTTGCGCGTTTGACATATTAGATCAGCCTAAAGTACACATCTGAAATAGGTATCACATAAGACGTGAGTCCAACTCACAGAGCAAACGGAATGGGTTCCGAAGATTCCGTTTCTATAAAGAAGCGTCGTTTATTATCTTATGCCATATTATTAACAGATACCTACTTATATGTTCTGAAGGCATATGTAAGCCAATACGACATACCAAATACATACCTGCCAACTCACGCTTTTATTAATGATGTCAAAGTCTCACGACAAAACTGATAAAACTTAAGCCAAACTGAGTTTATCTGAAACGTGGTCACAGGCAGACTGGCCATAGTAGGAACAGAGCTTGGATAGACTGAAACCAGATGTCCCCAACAGACGGTCGCGCAGGTGTCGTGTGGTATGGATAAAATGTCACATCATATTGAATTTGTTTTTCTTTGTTTTAAAGTTAACGTAACATGCCACATGAACAATGTGAACTAGTCCTAAAGGGTAAATACATATTTAGATATAACTGCAAACGATCACGTCGAAATCTGATTCATTTAGATGCTGATGCAGCCAGTTTCAGTCCTACCTGTGGGGACCACGTGATGAAGTTAAACCTGAACCCACTAGTTTTTGTCGCGTCTAGAGCTTGTATTGCTGCAATCACAATTCGTCTTGAAGAACGCTGAAAATATTGGAGACGCTATTCTGTTGATTAAATATACTACCGTGTTCATGCATAATTTACTTATGTGATTATGTTACTCTCAGATATGTCTTCATGTCCTATTTTATTTCTTTGATCGCTGGAAAAAGTACTAAATTATTCACGTCGAAGTCAAAGGGTTGTGACTTTGAATTTTTCAGTAATACCGTTTTGATAGTGTGAGGACCTCTGCTCGATAGGGTCCATGGGCTATAGTTTCAGGCCCATAACATGCATGATCAACTTCATATTTGGCCCTAACTCTGCCTTGACTCGCCACCGTCCCATAAGGCAGGGCAGTTGGACACTCTCATCTATATTAATGAGGATTATAGCAAATTGGTCAGTCTTGATTATGAAAGCAGAGTCAATCAGGAACTGGACAGCTGGTCAGGTTCCATGAAAGCTACGTAGTGATTTGCGTACAGTGGAAATTACCAATCTTGTTTGATTTAGAGAGCCCAGTGAAGCTATAACACGACTTGGCTGCAGGCTAGGAGAATATGATCAATGTACGGTAGCAAGATGAGAAAAGAGAAAAGGTTCTCTGTACTTCAACCGATGTTACAATGTAGGGACCCTGATAAATTCAGATTTCACTATCATAGCGGATGTGAAATGTCCGAAGGCTATTCCTAATGAGCAAAATTAATGTTAGCAACTAACGATTTGGTTATGAAACCTTTCAAATATTGAACTAAACATATCGAAGAGACTACTGATATTCAATACCTGTGCTTTGATCACGAAATATACAATTTGATCTCTATTAATAGCGTTTGAATGCACAGATCACCTCGCCTCATTCCGATATTTTTGCTATTACGTCTTTCAACTTATGACACTTTGTTACAATGCAAATTATTTCTTACGCAGAAATGTAACCCGACGAAGGACGGCATGCTCAACGTCCACATCGTCGCCCACTCCCACGACGACGTCGGCTGGAAGAAGACTATGGATCAGTATTACTCTGGGCAAGGGGGAGGGAACGGTATAGTATATCATGACCGTCGTAAATAACTGTATAACACGATGTCTTGTATTAAATATTGCCGTGCCAAACACCATGATTAGACAAAGAATATTCCGCGCTTCACAGACAAGAAGGTCAGAGCGTATTTGTTGCCGACGCGGACGAACATGTCCTGCCCTGTATGTAGATAGCGACCTCGAGGTAATAATGATTGACGACGAGATGATTTAAAGAATAGTCGACATAAGTTTCAGTACAACTTCACTGGAACCTACCTATCTCAATGTCGTGGGTTATGTGTCGTTATTTCCATATATAGAGTTACGCTGAACACATGTAATATATAAGGATAGTTGCAATGACCAAAAGCCATTATGAAGCTGCCATGACAGATATATCTGACCTCATAACCCCTTAGTATCATGAGGCAATGTTCCGCGTGTATCACCTGGAAGACACTGTTCCGCATGTATCATCTGAAAGACACTGTTCCGCGTGTATCATCTGAAAGACACTGTTCCGCTGAAAGACGCTGTTCCGCGTGTATCACCTGGAAGACACTGTTCCGTGTGTATAACCTGAAAGACACTGTTCCGAGTGTATCATCTGAAAGACACTGTTCCGAGTGTATCATCTGAAAGACACTGTTCCGCGTGTATCATCTGAAAGACGCTGTTCCGCGTGTATCATCTGAAAGACGCTGTTCCGCGTGTATCATCTGAAAGACGCTGTTCCGAGTGTATCATCTGAAAGACGCTGTTCCGCGTGTATCATCTGAAAGACGCTGTTCCGAGTGTATCATCTGAAAGACGCTGTTCCGCGTGAAAGACACTGTTCCGCGTGTATCATCTGAAAGACGCTGTTCCGCGTGTATCATCTGAAAGACGCTGTTCCACGTGTATCATCTGAAAGACGCTGTTCCGCGTGTATCATCTGAAAGACGCTGTTCCGCGTGTATCATCTGAAAGACGCTGTTCCGCGTGTATCATCTGAAAGACACTGTTCCGCGTGTGTCATCTGAAAGACGCTGTTCCGCGTGTAACATCTGAAAGACGCTGTTCCGAAGTGTCATCTGAAGGACGCTGTTCCGAGTGTATCATGTGAAAGAAGCTGTTCCAAGTGTCATCTGAAAGACGCTGTTCCTAGCGTGCCTACTGAAAGACACTAATGCGTGTATGCCAAACGAAAGACACTGTTCCGCGTGTATCATCTGAAAGAACCTGCTCCGAGCCCGTCTACTGGAAGACACTATCCCGGGTGTGCTAACGGAAAGACACTATTCTGAGCGTGTCATCTAAAAGACACTGTTCCCAGTATGTAAGGCAAAAGGCACTACATTTCAATGTCGTCTTGGCAATTCAATACATAATGTTGAGTGAATCATGTTGTAGGTGTCACAAGCAAGACACGTTATATTAGTCATGCATGCTGTAACAGTGCACAGTACGATATGATCAGCATGAAACTGACCTCTTGTGAGAGGGGACAGTTTTGTTTTGCATCAAAGGAAACAAATGTTGGTTCGGGGATGAAAGGGTTGGTGCCTGTCTCATATTGGCGCTATAGTGCATTAATGTCCTACCGTACAACCCCAATTAGGTTTCTTTGACCACAAGAGGTAATGTCAGAATGACGGAATCGATAAAGACTATGATGGTATATAATGATCATATTGTAACCGTTGATCTGTATATGCCATGATCGTATGTAATGAATATGTAACATTGCTATACACACCCTCTAGATGTAGGACATGCAGAGATCAGACGCTGATGAAGTGAGTCCGGAGCAGAACACGTGCATGCGTGCGTGCGTGTGCGCGTGCGTTCGTGCGAAAATATATTACCATTCAGTGTGCCTGAATTAATCGAGCGGGAGATCGCACAGAAATCCACCCACAGTTTTGAATCTGTATGTGTTATGTTACGTACATACCATCATAGTGTGTGCATACATCGGTCTTGTAACCATCACATGAATAAGCCCATACTGATGACCTCGTTGGGAGGTTTTAGCCGAGATTCTTTTGTACCTGGTGTAACATATGACACATGTTTCAACCTTTAAGATGATGCATATAGGACATGGTCCGAGGGGATTATTGTATTGAATTATTATTGAATGACTTTCAGCTGAGTCGTTCTACCACGGAGGGGAGTGCACAAAGTGTATTTTGGACAATGCTGTCCGAGAACTGATAGGAAACCCCTTCCGGAGGTTTATATTCGTCGAGATGGCCTTTCTCTCCGTCTGGTATAACGAACAGACGGAGGACATGAAAAAACAAGTAAAGACATTAATCAACGAACGTAAGTATTAATTGGATATTTTAGGCTGATTTTAATGTAGACCGTAGCCTGTTGGGTTCAGTTCAAAATCATATGAGTCGATCAGAAGGATCGGGTTAAGTAGAGTGTCATTGGTCTAGTGATGTCATCGTGGTTTGGTACCCATCACTGATATTCCAGACTATTTCAGTCATGTTTAACCCCGGAGAGATCCGAGTTAGAATTGGTCTTTAGCAACCCATGATTGTCGCAAGAGGCTACTACCAGGATCAGACTCGCTGACTTGGTTGACAATTGCGTAGATCGATGTTCATGTTGTTGATTGCTGGATTGTCTGGTCCAAACTCGTTTATTTACAGACCGCTGCCTTATAGATGGAATATTGCTGAGTGCGGCGTAAAACAACAAAGAAACACATGAGCAATAAGCAAAACATGCAAGAGGCGACTTACGGGATCGGGTGGTCAGGCTTGCTGACAGATGATGTCCCCGTATCCTTGTTACGCAGGTCAAGGCTCATGATGCAGATCACTCTGTCTTGGCTAGACTCAATTATTGACAACCCGCAGTTATATGGCTGGGATGTTGTGGATTACAACCTACAAGATTAACAAACAAATCAAAATAATATTTGCAGGGAGTCATGATGTAGTCGCATTACTGTCACGACGTGACTCATTCAGCCTCCTTCCCCATACACGGACCTCATGCTGGGGTATATATTTGACATTGGACAGTGCGTGGACTGGGAAAAGTAAAAGGGGGATCGGGTGGTCGGGGCTCAGTGACGGGCTGATGTATACGTCATCGTACCCAGAAGGAGGGGATCGTTCCACTTTTATCCTAAACAAACATTAAAATTATAGGACGTTGAAACATGGAAGAACCCACACACCTGTACTATGTGAACACTGCCTAGTTCACGGACGAACCCGAGTAAATGTGAAGGTCGGTCGTCTTCATTTGGCGACTTCGTCTGCAGTCGGGTTGTCGCTGGCACAAGCAGCACGACGCTTGCGTTCTTAAGAACATGTCCCTCGTTTGTGTGTGTGCATTTGTCGACACGTTGTCTGACTATTGAAGGTCAGAGAGATTCATCAAACAAAAAACATTTTGGACGACAAACATGCCTGACTGAATGAATACTTGATAAGTAGACATTTGTGATATCACTAGTTGCCCTTGTCGCTCCGACTGTAGCTACCCTACAGATACCTGATATATCACCCCGTGTGTGCGTGTGGAGATATGTGCGTCAGTGTGTGGTGCCCCTAACGGACGTTTTGCTAATACATATAAACGGAAGAACTGCCGAGTGGGGACACCTAGCGTGACTGCAACCGATGGTCTGGTGTTCTGGAATACTCCTAAATAAGCATATACACAAACCGTTTCGATACTAACGATTCAGTTATTAGGATGATCGGGTTCAGTAACACATAGCGTCATTGGTTTACTCAGGACGCCTTGAACTAATAATCGGTGGCTGGAGCATGAGCGACTCTGCGACGACATACTACGACGACATCATCGATCAGCACACCTACGGCTTCCAGTGGATCGAGAAGGAGTTCGGCGAGTGCGCCATGCCCAAGTCTGGATGGCATGTAGACCAGTTTGGCCACTCAAGGGAACACTCTTCTATATTTGCACAGGTATCAGTAGATAATTGAGTAGATGTACGTGTTGCTTGTCACCGAACTCGCACCTCGTTGGCGTGTTATATACACTCCTCAGAAGATGTTAAAGAACACCCGAACTTTCGGGACCAAAACATCCTCGGATAAGACAGAAAGTCGAAAATTTTCAAATCTCGGAAGACATAAAGTAGCCTGTAATATGACAAATATATGAATCGACATTACGCTTAAGGTTATAGATTTTTCAATCGTTACTTTGAGGACCTGGTTTGTCAACACGTTTCCGACCGTCGTAATGATTGGGGTATCAGCACCATGTCACTGCTCGTCTCACACACTATCGGTTTCCGTGGGGTCTGGTTATTCCCAGTAGGACGCTGTCGGAATCCCTAAAGAGTACCGTCAGACGTGGAAAAGATGTTGCATACATTTGTGTATTACAAAGCCATGTATTGGAGAGTTGGACACTTATTTTCTTTCTGTGTCCTTATCTTAAAGTATTGAATGTTTAGTAAGTCAACATCCATGTTTCAAAACAATGTCCAAAAACACAATCTACTGCACAAACGTTTGATTGTTTTTACAAATTAATTCTATTTTGAAAGATCAATTCTGTAAGCAACAGGTTTTAACCCACATTAGTGTGTGTTACAGAGAAATGTGCACGGGGCCCGTGTTTGTGAGCACCAGACCCTTTGCTCCTGACCACTTCTTTGGGTTAAAGGAACCTATGTAATATTCAGCTGAGGTTCAAGTCGAGCCACACTTCTCTACCACTACTCCTTCGTGTGTACTGTGTGTGTGACAGGGTTACACACATGTGTTGCTGTAATCTCAGTAACACACACTTCCACTTCAGCAACACTGGTGATGAAGGAAACCAAGTTCTATGGATAGTCAACTTCTTTATTGCAATGAGTGCGACGTGTCGGTGTAGGTACCTGCTTGATAACAGTGTTAGTACCTACAACGAAACGTCGCACTCATTGCTATAAAGAAGTTGACTATTCATACAACTTCTAAAATGCCTCTCAAATCACAGGGGCTTGTAACGCTAAAAACTGCCATCAAGGCATATACTGTCACTGACGGGGTCTTAGTACTATATAAAAGGAAAAGGGTGGTAACGAGGTCAACACACCAAGGGCGAATTCAACAATACTCACTGTATTTATCCCATTTAAAGTATGCACACATATCAAGCCAATCGATTTACCTACAACATAAGACATACAGCACTAAAGTCGAAGCAGTACTTTGGGAGCTAGGGTCTTCGGAAGCTCGAAAAATCGTGATTTCTCGATTCCGAGCCAAAGTCCCTGCTCAGAATTTGTAGCGGTAACTCACCCATTTTCTTGTTTATTTCACAGTATACACAAACGACATGCACCAAAACATGTTGAACTAATGGCACCTGTCAGCGCGCTAGTCGCCATTCTTTCGGAGACACTTACATCTTACTGTCATAATGAGTTTACGTATATTTATTCATCGCAAACAGAATTGTATCGTGCCCGTTCGCCATTGACGACCTTGGCCTTAACCTGCCCCGCACTTAAATGAGTCAGCGATTTGATTGGGACATAATTTATTTTTAGCCAATGAGCTCCCTTGCTCCCTTCCTTTTATATAGTACTAAGACCCCGTCAGTGACAGTATATACCTTGATGGCAGTTTTTAACGTTACAAGTCCCTGTGTCTCAAATAAGCAACACTGGTGATCGCGATACAATTGCCTCTACAAAGACCAACCAAGCCTACATGTCCTACATGTATGTCCACTGCAAGGTCTACCTGCTCCCGTCTGACGAACATAAATCCTCCTGTTTTCGGTATTTGATTTCAGTTTGGCTTTGATGGATTGTTCCTTGGTCGTATCGACTTCCAGGATCAAGAGAGGCGGACTAAAACATCGAATATGGAGACATTATGGAGGACGAGCCCTGACAACTTAGGTAACCTTAGTTTGGACATATATGCGCTGTATATACTCGTGCCTTCCTAACTATGCCGGCCAGTTTATGTAGTCATATACTCAACCTAGAATATTATAACAACTGGAATAGCGTCACGTGCTAACATCACATTGTTATATTTCCAGATTTTCGAAAGAGTGCTAATCTTTCAGAAAGATATTCGGACAGGAACAGACAGAAACGCTTAATACTTACCATCGATTAATGTAGTCTCACGGCATAATGTCTTGCTTCTGTCTTTTATGCACAAAAAGTATTAATCATTTAATTGTGAAATATATTCTACCTGACACCACGTGATGTGATACTGGGCATTCGAACTCAAGACAATAATTATCGTTGGTTGAGTGGTTTATCACAAGACGATACCTGCCATGGAATGTGAGAACTCGACTAATAAAGGTGACAATCCCCTTCTATAATCATACAGCATCACCCATTCTTCCACGGGAACTTTTAACAGTACTAGTGTTATGCTATCATAGACCAGTATCTATTAGACGCAGATTGTCATAGGGCAATTGGGTCGCCTTGTGGGAAAAAACAACCAGGCGCACGCACCATTGTACGATTTGGACAATATTACAAGCATCACGGAATCCCTTCCAAACAGTGATTATACCCTGTTATACACATTGGTGTAATTTGACCCTGCTTTGGATCCCTTACAAACTCATGCAAGGCAAGTGGTCACTAGAACAATCACAGGAGGACGGACAATAATTTGGAATATGGCCACATAGCGCAAGACAGTTTATGTGAGTGAGTGAGTGAGTTACCACTATGCCACAGCGGTGAACACCAGACATTGGATCAACACATCGTGTTGGGAATCGAACCATAGCCTTCGGTTTGACAAGAGAACGTTTCATTGAACATACTTTAGGATACAAAGTGTGTTGAAGTCAAAACATTTGCTTGTCTCCGCGAGGGCGGCAGGATAGCCTACACTAAACTCGTCTCAGTTCTCGGTTCGATCCTCCCCATGGATACAATGTATGAATCCCATTTCTGGTGATCTCCCCCATGATATTGCTAGAATCTTGCTTAAATTGGCATAAGATCAAACTCACTTGTAGCCAGGGAGGATTATGTTCGATTCCTCGTACCGCCGCGATTTATCAGGCACATTATATACTCGACATACTACCAAACCAGCACACCATCAAATTGATATAACAAATAAATCAATGTAGTTGTCCGGAAACTGATATGATTCGAGTTGAGACGATGAATCCGGTGTTTCCTTCCACGAGGAACAATACTATGCCTCTTTGCGTGTTTCAGGCGACAAGACGAGTCTCTTCACAAGTGTCCTCTATGACGGCTATTTCTCCCCAGAAAGGTTTCGATGGGAAGGATGGGGCCCCGGTATGCTGTCGGTAAGTGGACTGGGTACTTGACAACCCTCTCTGGCCGACATGTAGCGCCAGCCCTATTTCAACTGCACCACAAGTGATCCTTCCCACCCGTGCCAAATTAAACCTTCACAATCCTGTGTGCGTTGTCTGGAAGTACTAACTTGTCAAACGTTTCAAGCCAGGCAGGCAAATCTGTGTGCTTCTCTGACCCTTTGTCGTGTCCTGTGTCTAGTTATAACGGTCGATATTACTTCTCCTTTACATGTGGAAAATAGAATATTGACTGGTAGATTAAAGGAAGAAAACGGGATGAATTTTTTTTGTTATCAATTCCGTATGGGTGGTAAACTGGCTTGATTCTTCGATAAGCCGATTCCTCCAGATGATGTGAATGAAATACTTTGCAGACATACTTTTGTATTGACATTTATGAGGCGAGGAAGTTAAAACGTTTTTTCAAGATCCACTGGTACATATTACTTCGGGAGAAATGATATTACACTCTCCAGACAGGTAATGCATTTGAAATTTAATATGATCAAGAAGAGAGCCCGCTTTGATATGTTCTAGATACCCAATATATCATATTACCTAGTTTAATAGAGACATGTAGCACAGACAGAAGACTGGTTATTGGCTGAACGTGCACATTAGGGCGACTGCTGTAAGGCTTAATGCCTCGAGACTACTTAACTACAGGAAATGTGGGTCTGTGCTGGGTAAATGGTTCAAAGACGTTAATGTTTACTGAAGAAACACTGAAATGCTGGGTGACCGAGGTACTGGGGGTAAGACTCTTTGGGATATATGTGCATTAAGAACTTCCAGTAATAGGAGAAGAGGGGAGGTATGGAATCCCTTAGACGACCACGAGTAGGCCAGACCTGTCAATGCATCGTCACAGTGATACGACATTAACAACGCTGAATGAAGACGCTCACATTGTTGGCAATCTGTGCGAACATTATGGGCGATGTCAGAGTAAGGGTGACTATAGAGATGTGTGTGATGTCGAAGTGACGTCATGTCCGTATGTCAGGGACCAGGTTAGTGTCTTCGTCAGTAATCCAGTGCCCACCTGCTCAAAGCGGTGTCAGTACCACCACTAACTAACGACTAAGTTTTGTTGAAGTATTGGTGTAACGCTAAGCTTGCTTCGTGCAGGGGAACCAACTAGTTTAAAATGGCAGGAGTTGAGGTTCTAATATTGTACTCCTGATGCAAGTTAGACCCAAGTTTTCTGTTTGACAAGCTTGCACTTTAACCACTAAGCTACTTTAAAGCCCACAGTCTTATGTCATTGTGTGTTATTGTATATGTCAGCTAATTACATAAATACCAAAGCTTGGTGATTAGCAGGGCATGCTCTCATTCAGGTTTCGAGTCTGTCGACACCTAACGGAAATAAAGATTCTCCTCCGTTCGTCACGACTGTGGTAATTATGTGTATGTAGGAAGCAGGCACGCATGCTGTGATAACACGGCACCAGCATCCCCCGGGGGACAACAGCTAATCATCTGACTGTGTAGGAAAGTGTATAATTGTCTTTAGATGTGCAATATGACAGGTTTAGTCATGCAGATCAATATGCTTGACCTTTAACAAGACGATGAGTTTTACCAAGGTTTGCTATCCGTGATAAGTAGGTTTCAAGATTAAAAATGTATCAAGTGTTTAGATTTTGCATTAAATATCCGTTGATAACCCGATTAAGCGCCGATATATACATAAAATATTGACACAGTATTTTCCCTTAACCAAGACGTTGTCGTTCTTCACCCGACAGATGAATGATAAATCAGGGAGTTCCAGTCAGATTGACGCAGGCTGAGGGATGATTACAGCCATAGAAGGACGCGAGCCGCCCCTGTAGAGTGATAGCTAGCCTATTCCTATCAGTCAACAGTTATTTACTGTCAGGATAACTAATGATTCTCGCACATAACGATAAATCACAGCTACAATAATTACTTTGTAATTAATAGATTGCCGTTTGATGTGTCCTCTTTAAAGTCTTATTAACCGCAGAATGTCCCGGGAAACAGAATGTTGCCGATCACTCGGCACCAGGCTAGACAGGTATTAATATCGGGCAACTGGAATTTTAAGAATATGTTTGTCTAACTGATTGGGCTTTATCTGGTGTACACTTGGAGATTCATCTCTTTTGTCAGATTTAACTCGCTGTCAAATGAGGTACTACATTTTAGTATGCTTCTGTGTTGAACCTCTCGGTGATGCAGATGCATCTAACATTATGTTATGGACCGATAATGCTTGTAATATGTTAATAATTACCTAAACATGCAATTTTATTTTTTGCGGTTTTATTTTCAGGCACGAAACAGTGAAAATTACGTGAATGCATTCATCGATATCGCAGTTGAGAGAGTAAGTATAGATCAAGAAAAACAATCAGCTGGTAGTCATGGGGAGTCTTTGACAGAAGAGGCCCCCAGTGCCCCATGCTTAAGATATACTACTACTACTACTACTACTACTACTACTACTACTACTACTACTACTACTACTACTACTACTACTACTACTACTACTACTACTACTACTACTACTACTACTCAGTCGTCAGATAGCCGATTGTTCTTGGTGGCCTTGGCTTGGTTACTCCTGATCTTTTCACACTATCAGGAGAGTGCCCGAATCCTCTCCCACAAGGATGACGCTTCTCCCACAGCTCTTCTGGCACTCTTAGTCAGGCAGAAGAATGCAGAAGCCTTCTTGATGGGTTCAACAAAGCCATGCTTCCTGGGGGAAGTCTCATTCGCTGGGTGGGCTCCGTGTAAGGGGGCAAAGGTACCTGAGCTGATGAGCCTTACCAGCCTGACTGTGCCAGGATCACCCGAACCCTCTTTCCTGCATTCACATATTTAAATCTATAAAAATAATTTTTCTGGTGAGGCAGCGCATGGTCAACTGAAAAAACTCCACAGTTTCCTTAAACGGGACATTCTCTCAGTGTTGATTTTCATGATGGTTCTGTGCTGCGTGAAGAAGGGCAACGGTCCTGAGCTGATGATGAGCTTACCCAGTTTGACTTCCAGAATAACTCGAACACCCTTTTCTTCATTTAATTATTGTGATCTGTCAAATAACAATAATATGTGACAAAGACGATAAGGTTGCTTTTCCTGGCTTACCGTCGTATAGTGTATGTTTAAAGCTTCAAAATAAATATCGGAAATGCAGATGAATACACAGTCTTGCTTTCCTTCCGAATAGGATTCCAATTAGCGTAAAGGGCGCAATAATCGTGGAAAAATATATCAATGAACCATTGAAACTCAGTGATGACTGCAGGTGTTCGTAAAAAGGACAAGCATACTCTTCTCTTGTATCTTCTTCCTGATGAACCCCAAAATATCATTCAGTTTCATTCAGCATCCGTGCCTCAAATGCAAAGGCCATGCACTGACGTAGGGCACCGTCTATCTTCAAGCTGTCAGCTGACACAATGAATTGGTGCAGGAAAGTGTGAAACTACACTCTGCCAGCTCACACAATAAATTGATGCAAGACACTGTGTAACTACGTTCTGTCAGCTGACACAATTCATAGATTCAGGATACTGACTGAGTGTGTAACTACACTCTGTTAGCTGACACAATGCATTGATGCAGGACACAGTGTAACTACACTCTGTAAGCTGACACAATGCATTGATGCAGGACACAGTGTAACTACACTCTGTAAGCTGACACAATACATTGATGCAGGACACAGTGTAACTACACTCTGTCAGCTGACACAATGTATTGATGCAGGACACAGTGTAACTACACTCTGTAAGCTGACACAATGTATTGATGCAGGACACAGTGTAACTACACTCTGTAAGCTGACACAATGTATTGATGCAGGACACAGTGTAACTACACTCTGTAAGCTGACACAATGTATTGATGCAGGACACAATGTAACTACACTCTGTAAGCTGACACAATGTATTGATGCAGGACACAATGTAACTACACTCTGTGACACAATGTATTGATGCAGGACACAATGTAACCATGCAGTAAGCTGACACAATGTATTGATGCAGGACACAATGTAACTACACTCTCTCTGCTGACACAATGTATTGATGCAGGACACAATGTAACTACACTCTGTAAGCTGACACAATGTATTGATACAGGACACAGTGTAACTACACTCTGTAAGCTGACACAATGTATTGATGCAGGACACAATGTAACTACACTTCTGTAAGCTGACACAATGTATTGATGCAGGACACAGTGTAACTACACTCTGTAAGCTGACACAATGTATTGATGCAGGACAGCGTAACTACGTTCTGTAAGCTGACACAATGCATTGATGCAGGACAGCGTAACTACGTTCTGTAAGCTGACACAATGCATTGATGCAGGACAGCGTAACTACGTTCTGTCAGCTGACACAATGTATTGATGCAGGACACAGTGTAACTACACTCCGTAAGCTGACACAATGTATTGATGCAGGACACAGTGTAACTACGTTTCTATCGGCTGACACAATGTATTGATGCAGGACAGTGTAACTACGTTCTGTCAGCTGACACAATGTATTGATGCAGGACACAGTGTAACTACACTCTGTAAGCTGACACAATGTATTGATGCAGGACACAATGTAACTACACTCTGTAAGCTGACACAATGTATTGATGCAGGACAGTGTAACTACGTTCTGTCAGCTGACACAATGCATTGATGCAGCATACAGTTTTTATGTTCAGTGTTGTGCTTGATGGTGGTGGTAATAGATTGATGGCAGTCTCTCCATAGAACATATCTGTATTAATGGTCAGTCGGCTGCAATATAATTGATTGTCTTCCCCATGCTGTCCCAGCGGAAAACGAAAAAAACCCACCTAAATGCGGTCAGTCAATCAAGATATAAAAATGTGATATTTCCTGTCGTGTAACTAATGTCATTAAAATTCCTGGTCTGGAAAAACGTTCTTTTGCCCTTGTTTGCAAAGCTCCACAGCTGATGCTAACAATACCATTATGCATTGAAAACGTGTCCCCTTGCACTTTTCGTGTGTTATACAAGGCTACACGCAGCATTAGTCTACCATATAAAGGTTGTCTGAACCCAAATTCCAGTGGTTGATGTCATGCAGTTGGGATGAGATGACATGCATCCACCAGGTCAGCAAGCCTGATCACCAGATACAGTTAGTCGCCTCTACATCACGGGTTGCTGAAGACCAGTTCTATCCCAGGTCGCCACGGGCACCGTTACCTGGACTTACCAGCAAGGTCCAATTATCATCCAACCAGAAATGACGTCTTTCAGTGTTAATACATTGTATTATGTCCATCTAAATCCTTTGAGATGCCAATCTTCATCCTTCACCTTTCTTCATCGTTACGGCATCTGCAGACCGTCCGTAAATACCTGAGATTTCCCCTGATTAAATTCGTTCAGGTGGTCATCAGCTACTCGGGCTTGTGTTTTTCACCAAAGTCATTAAACAATCTTAAGCTGTATCACATCTAAGCTCCCTCCGAATCATTAAACTACCTCATAATATGTTTCCAATATGTAACACGGTTATCACGCAAGTGATGAACAACTTCTACATTACAATGAGAGCGACGTGTCGGTGTAGGTTGTAACACGGTTATCAAGCAAGTGATGAACAACTTCTACATTACGGTGAGAGCGACGTGTCGGTGTAGGTTGTAACACGGTTATCAAGCAAGTGATGAACAACTTCTACATTACGGTGAGAGCGACGTGTCGGTGTAGGTTGTAACACGGTTATCAAGCAAGTGATGAACAACTTCTACATTACGGTGAGAGCGACGTGTCGGTGTAGGTTGTAACACGGTTATCAAGCAAGTGATGAACAGAATAAGGATGAAGAGGCATATCTACAAGTGTGAGGAGATATGTGTAGGTCCTACAGTACAATGGGGGTTGAGAGTCAGGGTTGTAGAATTGGTCTTCAGACATCCATGCCTACCCTTTTCGCGAACACCTGGTGTCATCACTGATTTCCCATGATCAATTCAAATAATAATGACAGATATGTTATCCTTTACACAAAACGATTTTTTTTTCTGACAACAAGATTGGGTATTCTTTTACACTGACGCTGTCTATATTATATTAGATTATCTCGAAATACAAGTTGTCTTGCAACAAAGGTGAAGCATAAACTACAACCGCGAGTGATGAAACACAACTTGAATTTTTTTTAAGGAAAAACACGATTGTTCACCTTCCAAATTGAAGGCACTTAGTCTCGCGTATAACCAGTGGCTTGTTGAAACAAGAATGATTCGCTGCAGTCAGTCGATGTATGCATGTCTTTCACGACAAATTCTAGCAGGATACTGAACACTCTTTGCGTCTTTAAATTCATTTTTTCTTCCCCGGTTTCTTGTTTCACTTTTTTCGTCTTACATTCTTCTTTTATTGCATTTGGAAAACATCAATTGATAGAGAACTAGTGTGTCATTACAATTCTGAGATATTCTCTCCCGTTGGTTTGAAAAACTCATCTCATTATCGCGGTGTATGGCCACAGAATTTGGCTTGAGGCTACCCATGCCATGTGTCAGTGGCAATGTTTGCTTCAGTCCGACATGTTGTAATATTATACATTGGTTTCCGGAAGGTTTACTAAATAGTACAAGCAACATGTTTAATGTTACAAGGACATTCAATTCCCTTCATAATTGTTCATTTCAATTCAGTTTTGTATACATTCTGTTGAATTTTACTGGTATACACACCCATGATGCCTAAACAACGTTGACTTTAATGAATATCATATCCACACTTTTTGTGGTCCCTCTCCAACTTAAAACAGGGTAATATCTGGGGTTTCTTTTTTGATTAATAAAACTTGTTGAAGTGTACCGACGTCATCCCGGCTGTGTTTTGTTCCTATATACCGTGACGGTACCACCTTCCAAAACACTAAGACACAGTGGCTGGTCCATCACCATGGCAGGTGATCCTGTAATTATGTCCTGTAACTGTCACGATCCTCAGAGGAGGGAGATCATCACGTCGGCATTCCAGCCACTGAGTCCTTACTCATGTGCACAATGGGATAAAGCAGCTCACTAAACTGTGGAACAGACACACGGCGTACAGGGTTGAATACCTTACCACGATATGTAAAATATCGCCATCTTCCAACACCCTAAAGCGGGAGATAGCCATTTACCATCTTTAAACAGTTTGATCGAACAGCGTCTTGACATATTAACACCGTGGCTCACATATTCCTGGCTGACATCCGTGTATTCTTACAAACTTCCTAGAAAGTGACGAGTCATTATGTAAGGTTGACGTCAGCTGATTGCCATTTATTTACTGACATCAGCTGATTGTCATCTATTTACTGACGTCAGCTGATTGTCATCTATTTACTGAAATCAGCTGATTGTCATCTATTTACTAATGTCAGCTGATTGTCATCTATTTACGGACGTCAGCTGATTATCGTCTATTTACTGAAATCAGCTGATTGACATCTATTTACTGACGTCAGCTGATTGTCATCTATTTACTGACGTCAGCTGATTGTCATCTATTTACGGACGTCAGCTGAATGTCATCTATTTACTGACGTCAGCTGTTTTGTCATCTGTTTACTGAAGTCAGCTGATTGTCATCAAATCACTAACGTCACCTGAATTGTCATCTATTTACTGACGTCAGCTGATTGTCATCTATTTACTGACGTCAGCTGATTGATATCTATTTACATAAGTCAGCTGTTTGTCATCTATTTACTGTCGCCAGCTGATTGTCATCTATTTACTGACGTCAGCTGATAGTCATCTATTTACTGAAGTCAGCTTTTTGTCATCTATTTACTGTCGTCAGCTGATTGTCATCTATTTACTGACGTCAGCTGATTGTCACATATTTAATGATATCAGCGATGTGTCACATATTTAAATATATCTGTGTATGGTAATATATTCAATGATGATTTTCTGTGAAATTCTGTTAATCCAGAAACATCCACACGTCTAGAAAAAGATACAGTACATTGTCCGTAATATAATTTGTTCAACCGAAAGTAGCCTGTTTCATTTGTCTCGCCAAAGTCCGGATTGACAAGGGTTCATTGTAATAATAAGTCATCTTCTATAGCGCACAGTCTCCAAACACCAAGTGATTGCTCGCGGCGCTTAATCAGGATCTGATTCTTATTACCCCGGATAACCCAAGCTGCCTGTTAGGCGCTAGAAGGTTATAGTCATAAAACTTTATCCCACCGGGTACCCATTTTTCTGCAGGGTTTTCTATTGTAGTGTATGTACTAGAGGAAAGTATGTGTTCATGGTTATCAAACTAAATATCTCTTTAACTAATCTTATGACATTATGTTCATATGTTTTTCGTGAATTGTCTTCAATTTAAAATGCGAATTTAAAATTTGCAGGTATAAATTGAGGATACACTAGATGTGTTTTAGAGGGTCTTTTTCATATGAAGCGCTCATTTATATGTTGTCATTTTAAACGTGAATCGTTACACATATTGTCGTTAAAGTTCATCCTGAATAGCGCACAGCTTTAACACAAGTGGTACTGATGATAGCAAGTGCATGCCAGCTAATTTACATAAGACTGCTCACGATTCATCCAACCTTTGTGTTCTAGGCTAAGGCGTACAAGACGAAACACGTGTTAATTCCTTTTGGAGGTGACTTTGCTTTCAACACTGCCGCCGGCTGGTTCGATGGAATCGATAACCTCATCAAATACGTCAACGCCAAGGTAAACAGTTCCTTGTGTCTTGTACTACCATTAAACCATTCCCTATTGGTGCTCAACGGGACACACGAACTCTGACATTGGCCGGGACTATAGTCTATATGTTCTCCATCTAAAGGCAGATGGCTTTTATTCATGACGTGTGATAATTTGATAATGTGATTACACTTTTATGATGTTTCCATGTGAGGACGCTTAAGTACGTTCCGGTTGATGTTGCAGTCATCGATTACTTTTGGTTGTCTTCAAAATTGGTTTCATAAAAGCACTGACTTTCTTCTCTGCTGTGTTTAGCAGATCAATTATATGTGCATTGTTGCACATACTGAATTTTGCTGACCTAGTGCTTTTTCTCATATAAATGACTTAAAGAGGACTAAACTTGTCGATACACCTAAATGATTATCAGTCCTCGTAAGTGTCCTTTTGTACATTAACGTAAGTGTCCTTTTGTACATTAGAAAATATACCAACGTTACAACGTAATGCAACTGCGGACATTGCTCCCGGTTAAATCACAGCTTTGTATTTCCTCCTCTGTATACTTTAGTATAATTATTGGTTTTTACCTTAAGAAAAGACCAGTTGAACATTAATAACTTACAATTGCTCCTTACTTTACCTGTTGTTTTATGGTATTCGTATGGTCAAGGCGTGGTCAAGCATCATTCAGATGTATCCTCTATGTATTATTGTCCACAGCAAACGACTGGCAGCAAAGTGAACGTCCTCTACTCCACACCAACCTGCTACGTCAACAGCGTCAACAGAGAAGCGGTAACGCTTGAGACGATGTCGACCGACTTCTTTCCGTACTCTACCATCCCCAACACCTTCTGGACCGGCTTCTTCACCAGCAGACCCGGACTCAAGCGCCATGTGAAAGTGGCCAGCAGCTTACTACAGGTGGGAAAGCACATCACTCCTCTCATAAACTTTGGTTGCCTCTGGAGAGTAAAGCGTGTCACTCCCTTCCCAGCCTGAAGCTTGCTACAGTCGGGGAGCCATGCCACCCCATTCCTGGCCAGCAGGTTGCTACAAAATACAAACTCACTCTATTTGATGCCATGTTGGCAGTAGCTAGTTAATTTGCCACATGTCCAATTGAATGTTCATCGTTTTTTCAGACGTGTAAAGAAATGGCAGTTCTAGCAGAGCTCCAACATACAAAAGCAAACGTTGATAAGTTAAGTAAGTATCAGTGTTTTGTTTGTTTGTGTGGAGAGAGAGAGAGAGAGAGAGAGAGAGAGAGAGAGAGAGAGAGGAGAGAGAGAGAGAGAGAGAGAGAGAGAGAGAGAGAGAGAGAGAGAGAGAATACACTATATAGATATACAGAGAAACGATGGTGCTTGTACGTTAACATTACCGTAAAAATATGTTAAACACAAAGGTACTGGTTGCATACTTTCTGATTTACAATCGGGAGTGTCTGCCCACCAAGAGAAGGGAGTAAATATGACGGTGGTTAGAAAGATGTAATGTCCCTTTGTGCGTTGAGATGGAAACCACATTCTGTCCATACAGTCAGTTTTAAACCTGAGGTATCCTTTCAAGTACAGAATTTGACGATGTGTCTTTAAGTATGATACGGACGCCCACCCCACAGTCCGTGTATCCATGTAACATGTGCGTGTCTCCTCCCCTCAGAGAGCGCCGTGGCGGTGCTGCAGCATCACGACGCAATCACGTGAGTAGATTAACGAAACTTTGGAGATGAAGGGATGTCGGATTCTAAGCGTAATTCCTTAAAGAGTGTTGATTAGCAGATTAGCAACATTTCCATCCGTCGAAATCAACTCATCAGAGTTTTAACATCTAAAGTCCACTACTGTTTTAACTGTCATATTCTTGACCATGAAGCCGGTCCCTATCTCCCCAGACCCATGCCTCCCCCGTCAGCTGTACCTGCGTGTGTTTCAGGGGCACGGAGATGCAGCACGTCACTGATGACTACAACAAGATGTTGAGTGAGGGGGAACTAGCGTGCCAGGTGAGGGATTGCCGTGTATACTTGTCTGTCATACAGGCCCCAGCTTCTGTAGCCCTGCGCTAATGGAATCTAGATATTAAATCTCATACACAGTCTCATGTCTGGGATAAATCACTCGCTCAGGCCACCGATATATCCCGGTCAGTCTACGCTTAACGAGATCATAAACAAGAAGTTATTCTACGTCGAACGCTGGATGCTTCTCGGCAGGATTACATACACCTGGTGTCTTCGAAAGCTCACTGAATATAAAAACGAAACGAGGCAAGAGACGTTGATGACGTTTGCATGATACGACATGCAGGACGTGAGTAGGTGGAGACAGGGATCAATACCTGGAGGCCTGGTCCCAGGGGACGGGGTATACCCACGTTATGGACATGGAACAGGACGTCAGTAGGTGGAGACAGAGATCAATACCTGGAGGCCTGGTCCCAGGGGACGGGGTATACCCACGTTATGGACATGGAACAGGACGTCAGTAGGTGGAGACAGGGATCAATACCTGGAGGCCTGGTCCCAGGGGACGGGGTATACCCACGTTATGGACATGGAACAGGACGTCAGTAGGTGGAGACAGGGATCAATACCTGGAGGCCTGGTCCCAGGGGACGGGGTATACCCACGTTATGGACATGGAACAGGACGTCAGTAGGTGGAGACAGGGAATCCTGGAATACCCAAGTTATGGTCATGGAACAGGACCTGGAGGCCTGGTCCCAGGGGACGGGGTATACCCACGTTATGGACATGGAACAGGACGTCAGTAGGTGGAGACAGGGATCAATACCTGGAGGCCTGGTCCCAGGGGACGGGGTATACCCACGTTATGGACATGGAACAGGACGTCAGTAGGTGGAGACAGGGATCAATACCTGGAGGCCTGGTCCCAGGGACGGGAGTATACCCACGTTATGGTCATAACAGGACGTTATGGACATGGAACAGGGACGGGGTCCCAGTAGGTGGGTCGACAGTAGGATCAATACCTGGAGGCCTGGTCCCAGGGACGGGGTATACCCACGTTATGGTCATGGAACAGGACGTCAGTAGGTGGAGACAGAGATCAATACCTGGAGGCCTGGTCCCAGGGACGGGGTATACCCACGTTATGGTCATGGAGGTGGAGACAGGGATCAATACCTGAGGCCTGGTCCCAGGGGACGGGGTATACCCACGTTATGGTCATGGAACAGGATCAGACAGGGATCACCCTGGAGGCCTGGTCCCAGGGGACGGGGTATACCCACGTTATGGTCATGGAACAGGACGTCAGTAGGTGGAGACAGGGATCAATACCTGGAGGCCTGGTCCCAGGGGACGGGGTATACCCACGTTATGGTCATGGAACAGGACGTCAGTAGGTGGAGACAGGGATCAATACCTGGAGGCCTGGTCCCAGGGGACGGGGTATCCCCACGTTATGGTCATGGAACAGGACGTCAGTAGGTGGAGACAGGAATACCTGGAGGCCTGGTCAGGGGACGGGGTATACCCACGTGGAGGAACAGGATCAGTAGGTGGAGACAGAGATCAATACCTGGAGGCCTGGTCCCAGGGACGGGTATACCCACGTTATGGACATGGAACAGGACGTCAGTAGGAGACAGGAGACAGGGAGACGGGTATACCCAGATCAATCAATACCTGGAGGCCTGGTCCCAGGGGACGGGGTATCCCCACGTTATGGTCATGGAACAGGACGTCAGTAGGTGGAGACAGAGATCAATACCTGGAGGCCTGGTCCCAGGGGACGGGGTATCCCCACGTTATGGACATGGAACAGGACGTCAGTAGGTGGAGACAGGGATCAATACCTGGAGGCCTGATGGACATGGAACAGGGACGGAACAGGTCGTCCAGTAGGTGGAGACAGGGATCAATACCTGGAGGCCTGGTCCCAGGGGACGGGGTATACCCACGTTATGGACATGGAACAGGACGCCAGTAGGTGGAGACAGAGATCAATACCTGGAGGCCTGGTCCCAGGGGACGGGGTATACCCACGTTATGGGGAACAGGACGCCAGTAGGTGGAGACAGAGATCAATACCTGGAGGCCTGGTCCCAGGGGACGGGGTATCCCCACGTTATGGACATGGAACTGGTCGTATATCAATGTAGAGACAGGTGGTGGTGTTACGATCACTGTCGATTGCTCTACCCTAAGGTTGTCTTGGTGTTTCTATCCAATGTTGTACAGACAGTGAGTCACCGTCACTGAAATATATGCAATATACTAGACACGTAGCAGTCTAGCTGTTGACCCCTGGCTTCCTGAATACTCGCTGATAGGACATTGCACACTGAGGAACACAGGTTTCAGTGCATTAGTGAAGATGGTGCCGTGCTCTATCTACTGAAGAACACGCGGATTAAAGAATGATTGTAATGAGGACAATGCGTATCGTACACGTTGCACTAAAAACACTCGGATGCCGCTTCAAATGCAATCAGAAGACAATGATTGTCGTACAAACACACATTTTAACTTATCTCTGGTTCTAAAGTCGTAATTGATTGACGTATTCCTTTTAGAAAGAGTGGAAGTGTAGATGTAGGTTTCCAACTGAATACTGTGGCAATGGATCTTCGATCAGCTAGCAGTGACAGTAAACAGTTGTACATACGGGAATATCAAGTGGTTTTATCTCGATCAGAATAACACATCGATAGTTCGCCTGTTGACCAAACACTGAATCTTAACAGTAATTCGATAAGCCATTTAGTATGTAATATAGTCACATACCAAACAGTGTCCAAAGCATTTGCTTCGCTACTGAAATTCATTCACTCGTTTCGTTATGCTGTTAGAACAGTAACAGATGTGAATTTCAAACCTGTCCCAGAAGCCTTATCTCATTATGTTGTCTCACGAGACAATAGAACCATTCCTCCAAAATGACCCGTTTTCGCTGACTATTATGACCAATCTAAGTGGAACTTCTAAGTGCTTTTATGAGCATCGCTTGCAGTCTGAGACATGTAGAATGCATTTACATTCATTTCAACGGGCGGAATTTCCCGTTTCGTGTCGTCTGGTGTGGGGTATATTTGTGCTTAAAAGCTTTTACACATCTTAATTGCAAATGATGATCCCGCATATGCATTAATGCTGAGAATGTTTGTCTGCCAGGAACTTAGAGAAACGTCCTCCATTGTCGTTGTAGTGTTGGCAAACGACGGTCTGGCCACATGTACTTTATATATGTAAGGAGTGGTTGTTAGCGGCAATAAATATATTTACACAGACAATGAACCACAAAACGGACGTCAGCCCGGTACAGTTGTTGTAAAAAGTAATGAAAAACATTCACGAAGCCTTATTTCCATGACAATCATGATGTAGGCGCCAGCTACACTACACCGTGCAACATCATACATACATCAAGGAAGATAAAACTGCGATATGTCACTTACTAACGGGTTTAATCCCACTTTGAAAAAGAAATCAAGTATTTCTGATACTGATATACTTTAAGGGTTCCCTTGTTCTCTTGTGGTTTGGTGAATAAATCGCTTCCAGGATTATACCAGTTAGATCGCGACCTGTCGGTTGATGTTCAGGACAAGCGCTGGCGTGTGTCCGTTTGTGGAAGCCATGGGGATGGATTTAGTGCTGACAAACCTAGACACACAATGGGGACAAACCAGAGTTCAGGTAACCGGTGAAACTTCAACAACCCTACATCTGCTTCATCTCTATTAAGCAAACACGATGAAAGAACGTTCCACTATACATCCAGGATGCGGCAGAATACTTTTGGTGTTGAATCTTCAAGTCAGTCCTTTCAAATTCATATTTCAATTTACAGTTCGGGCTCCGTTTTGATTAATCTGTATGTTGTCTTGTGTTTTTCAGTCGGTGATCGAAGACGCCTACAGGGCCCTGCTGCCACCACCAGCGGCTCCCAAGCAGGAGTTTTGTCCTTTACTCAACATCAGCGTTTGTCCAATAACAGAAACTGCTAAATCGGTATGTACAATGCCGGGTGTACATTTCATCTGAATATCTTGCTGCTGTAGTGTTACTGGGACACGTCCAAGTTTTGGGGATAATCGATTGCATGTCGTTTTCGTATTACTTCGAGACAACAGGGTACAGTTATTCGAACTTCGGATATGGACGGACCAGCACGTAACACTGCCGTTATCGAAAATATGAGATAATAACTTTCATGAGGTTTCACAGAACGATATTCATAATGGCTGGCAAGAAAAACATTCGAGACAAAGTGGATTACTTTTACTCTCACAATTACCGGAACGTTTGCGATCCATTGCATGTGATCTCCTGTGATGAGCAATTTACCTCAATGAAGATGAAATATGTTCAGAATCAAGACTGTCATTTACAAATATTTTCGGCCTGTGAATCATATAGCCATCCGTTCTACCATGAAAGGCTATTGACTCACTTGCTGTGTATATGGGTTGGTCATACACAGCCCCACGGTCTGCGTGGTGTAACGGGTGTCCACCCATACCCATGTGTGAGGTATTGACTCCTGTTGTCACGTGTTAGTCCAAAGCCAGTAATAGTTCGTAGATTATGCATGTATACATTTATTGATATTGTATTTAACTGAATACTGTGTACCCGTATCGTAACGCGTGTACCTCCTTTTCCCGCATGGAGAGGGACTCGATGACCGACGGCGATGTAGTTTACTCAGAGACCATAATAAGACTTTATGATATGGTCAATAAACCACTTTTATGACATTGCCCACTTAACCCTGGCTTGCATTCACCCCGACATATGGTTTTCAGTCTGTCGGAGAAACGCGCATGTACGTTAAAGACACGTGGGACCAAATCTGAGGCTGTGCAACACGCTGTGCAGTTGCATTAACGTGGGGTCATCACTTATATGATGAGGGCGCCACACCCACCCTTTCGTGTCACCCTAGTGATACGGAGACAGTTTATCTCGGACTTTCCACATCACTATAGGCTTTAGTCATGTCGTGAAGTAACTAATGGACGGACAGACAGACTGAGATAACTATTCATGATAATTTGACATACGAAAACCTTCAACTATAATCAGACCTGTACTCATTGTTTTCTTTTGCTCAACAGTTTACCGTCAACTTATTCAACCCTCTTGGCTGGCCAGTCACCCATTTCGTCAGGCTGCCGATCCCTGGCGGGACGTACAAGGTGCTGGGAGAGGGCAAGGTCACGGCTGAGGTAAGACACATTATTACCAGACAAAACCAATATTACAACTATTTTGCTGCCATGTATGAGTGATTATCTTTGTGTGATTATCTATTAACGATTAAACTGAACGTGCTACAAATGTAGTTACCGTCACACAATAACTGAAGCAACATCGGTGTGTCTTTCGGCGCAGCTGTTGATACAGACTATGCCGATGTATTGATACATTGCTCAACTATTGCAATTATCTACAGCCCACACTATTAAACCTGTGTCAGCAATATCGCACGAGGCCGCTCAATGACGGACCAACCATCTGATATTGGGAAGGGGTGAGGAAGCGTCTTGCGTCTTGTATGAGCGGACTGCTTTTTTCAGCTGCAGTTGCAAAACCAGATATGCATTTATTTCTTCCTCAGTCAGGAGAATAATTATTATGCCCCGCAACGCGTTTTGCGGGGACTATTAAAGTGGACTCCGTGCGTCCGTCGGTCCGTGCGTCCGTCCGTGCACATTCGTCTTTTCCGGAGCAGAACTTTAAAACCGTTCAATATTTCTTCACCAAACTTGGCACATAGATAGATCTGGTGATGTACTGGTGACTTTTGGTAGTTTGGGATTTCTGATTAAAATATTGTTTGCATTTCCATGGCAACAAGTTTGACTTCGACTGAATTTGGTGGTTGTACTCCTTTCTGGAGCAGAACAAAAACAAACAACCAACTTTCAATACTCTCCTTCCACTTTGCAACATACAAGCCAAAACATTTGACATAATCATAACTAGTAGACATATTCATGAAGAGTATTTTGCCATTGCGGGGGATATTTATGACTTTGTCTTCTTGTTTTGCATTTAGTTCAACCGCTCAAATCTTATTTGCCGCCCCTCCCCCTCTCCCAACCATTAGTTCCCACACCACACACCCAGCCACACCTTTCTCGGACATCAGTCCCTGGTCTACTTGTCTGTGTGATGAAACAAACCTCATTGCAGAGCACCAAACATTTTACGTCAAACGGTTCACGGTGCTCCTTTCTTGTGTGAGTGTATATAACAAGTGGCTTTGACATTGGCGGTATCATTTTTTCATGTATGAAAAACAACGTTAGTTTGATGATTGAGCATAATGATGAAATTTAACTGTGGAATTAGCTAGTGAATTAAACATTGATAGCTACTCTGTTTGTCAATGGAGTTAATTGTTTTGATTTCGATGTGTTTGTCTACATGGAGCGTATGTTTGATTTGCTAGCCGTTAACGATACGACACTTATACACTGTTTGACTTGTGCCTGTGTTTCCGGCAAGTCTGCAAGATTGTCAATAATGTTAATTAGCCAATGTGTGATATAGTTATTTTCCTGATCTATGTTTGGGAACACCCTGTCCAGAGCACAAATACACTGCACATTCACTTCCACCGTATCTCTGTTCCGTAACGTGGTCGGCAGAAACCCTTTCGGGACTGGCTTTTTACTCGTTTCTTAATTAACATAAAATTGGCTTTGCGGATTATTTTCTCCAAAATGTAGTCGTTATATTTTTTAAGCTTTTTTATGAAATGTTATACTTCCCATCTGCATCACGGTGGTCATGTTTTGCTATTAATTTCTGTAATGCTTTTTTGGAGAACGTGAATCAGCTGGTACGGCCGCGTGTGCAGTGTGTTCAATTTCAATATTGCACCAGGAAGCTGAATGAATAATACATAACGTTACATTAGTATTGTACGGCGAGGGTAATATGGACAGTCGTTGCCAAATCCCTGAATAAATCGACCACGCCACTCAAAGTAAAATGAGGGTTTTTTAGTGAGTGTTATCTCTCGTTAAAAAGGTCAACGTCCTTATATTCAAAGCATGAATGATTGATGTTCGATCGATTGAAGTGGGCCACGCGATATGTTATCAGGTAATTGTGTCGTTTTAGGTCAATTGATTGCTTCTAATAACTGCTGCAACAGACAATTGAAATTGAAACATTATTCATGATCATGAATTCGCATAATGCATAGTTGAATGCTGCTGTCAGTATTAATATCGTGGTATGCCGGCTGTAACGATCGACAATGACTGCGTTGTCTTCATGTTTGTATTGTAGTCGAACATCAGAGATTAAGCAGATATTCTTCAAAAGATCTCTTTGAAGTAGTTCTGGCCTGGGGATGTAGAGAAAAATGAAAGTAAAAGGTCTTTAGAAAAGCTGATAAAGACAAAGGGTCATACATGTTATTTCAGTATCTTCAGTTTTCTGTCTAATGGTTGCTTTAGTACATTTAATGATTGTAACCTTTTTTATCATCATTATTAAAATAATAACTGTGATGTTATATACATTGTAGTGATTGTGCTTTGTATTTATGCATTGTTGTTACCTGTGTAGTGGTGATCATATGCATTGTTGTTACCTATGTAGTGGTGATCATATGCGTTGATGTTATATATAGAGATGGTTACAGAAAGTGATGGTTACATACAGTGTATAATGATTTTATGCACAGTGATGGTTACATAAAGTGATGGTTACATACAGTGTACATAATGATGTTATGTACAGTGATGGTTACATATAGTGATGGTTACATAAAGTGATGGTTACATAAAATTATAGTAACATATAGTGATGGTTACATAAAGTGTTGGTTACATAAAATGATAGTAATATATAGTGATGGTTACATGAAAACAGTAATGGTCATGTATATTATTTGCTTGTAAAAAACGTTACTTGTGTTGATCTCTTTAGAGAATCAAATAAGATACCAAAAAGGTTCTTTTTGCTGTTTTGATTCAAATGAATTGACATTTTGTCAATTTGGCAGTTCAGTATCTTAAATCGTTGCTCCCAGACCCGGTAATATACATGATTAAGTTACCTATCCCCAGACCAGATCTCTTCTTGTGTCGGCCTCGTCAAGGTCACATACTGTGTTGTAAACTCGACGGTGTGACTTGCCAAGGGAAATATAATTCACTTTAACTTCAGACCTGGCATAAAAACACCCAGATCGTCACAGTTGAGGGAGATGTAGAAAGTCTTCAACTCTTTTCAAAAGTCCCCTCAAACTACAAGGCCACATCTCGTTTTTGCTGTCAAATCAATTTCTTTAGGTCCAACATTTGACTTGCGAAGTTGGCCGATCAGTGGCCTTATCCATGTCTAATCAAATTGAGTAAATTGTATTACATATCTGGATTTCTTTAATAACTTGATGTGTCTGTTTTTAGCTGAAGGATACTTCTTCATGCATGTCCGTGATAAACATGTAGACATTGTAAGACCATGAGGACATTGTAAGACCATGAGGACATTGTAAGACCACGAGGACATTGTAAGGAGGACGAGGACATTGTAAGACCACGAGGACATTGTAAGACCGAGGACATTGTAAGACCATGAGGACATTGTAAGACCATGAGGACATTGTAAGGAGGACATTGTAAGACCACGAGGACATTGTAAGACCAGGACATTGAGGACATTGTAAGACCACGAGGACATTGTAAGACCACGAGGACATTGTAAGACCACGAGGACATTGTAAGGAGGACATTGTAAGACCACGAGGACATTGTAAGACCACGAGGACATTGTAAGGAGGACATTGTAAGACCATGAGGACATTGTAAGACCACGAGGACATTGTAAGACCACGAGGACATTGTAAGGAGGACATTGTAAGACCATGAGGACATTGTAAGACCACGAGGACATTGTAAGGAGGACATTGTAAGAACATGAGGACATTGTAAGACCACGAGGACATTGTAAGACCACGAGGACATTGTAAGGAGGACCCTGTAAGACCATGAGGACATTGTAAGACCACGAGGACATTGTAAGACCATGAGGACATTGTAAGAAGGACATTGTAAGACCATGAGGACATTGTAAGACCATGAGGACTTGTAAGACCATGAGGACATTGTAAGACCATGAGGACTTGTAAGACCATGAGGACATTGTAAGACCATGAGGACATGGAACCATCCCTTATGGGTAAAAGGGTCATGTCTAAATGTTCATCATTTAAGTAGGATACGCCGCCTGTTGTATAAACATTAGACTGACTTTGGATGTATTAGCAGCTTACACGCAGTAGATGCAGCTGAACTGCATTGCCTTTTACATGGATTGGAGGAAAAGCATTGAATAAAAACCCGTGACATAGTTGCATCATTGCGTCAGTAATCACCTGCAGTTGTTTACCGAAAAGTCTTCCGTCTCAGGGCATTGTGTTGTGAGTGTTCAAGTGGGTGATCGATTCATTGTGAGTACAGTGTTTGAAGTCTACTCATTCAGTCAAAACCTGCACATGTTAAACTCCCCTCCTTTACAATACGTGTGACAGCCGAGTCAAAAATTATAACTTGATTATACCCAACCCGTTTGGTGCTGGAATATTGGTGATAGCGGCGATACACGACACTCACTCTAACTGTATTGACATCGCTTTGAACGTACCATGTATCCTAATTTCCGTTCATTGTGGATATTCCAGACAGTGCCTCTGTCGCCGTCAACTAGCGCTATACCAGAACGAGGCCAGTCCACAGCTAACGCCGAGCTGGTGTTCAGAGCTGACGTGCCACCGTTAGGGTTCGCTTCCTATAAAGTGAGCAAAGAGTCCAGTAAGTACAACAGTTATACAAGTCGTGATTTTGATGTTGACATGAGAAATAAACGACCAACTGATTGTCTGGAAGAACTGAAATAGACTGACATATCTGATATTTCACATAAACACAGAAGTTACCAGAAAACGTTATTAATATTTGTAACGTTGAACACGAGCCAACATCGGGATCGTCTAGACGAGTCTCTTGAGCACTGATATATCAACTTAATATGTGTTTCCTGTTGGTTTAATGTCCCCCTTACCGGTTTTTACTGTAAGTATCATGTAACATTTTGTATGATGCTGTCGCCTGTAGGTTCGGATGATAGCCCACCACTACAAGATAACACAAGGGATGACATTGTCATAGAGAATGAGGTAAGAAATCAATATCCCATTTTCGTTTCACACCTAACGGTATTTTATACAGAGGGACAGAAAAATGAAACATGCTATGTACTCCGACGGTAAAGACAGATTACCTAACATCCACGTGCCACCGGCATCTCGCAGTCACCTATTTCAACAATATTGAGTTTCGTCAGCAGTAAATATTGTGACAATAATATGCTACCTTATTTTCCACGCCAGTATAAGAGCACAGTTGACATTATATCGATATTGACATGGCTAGTACAATGTCAGTATAAGCGCACAGTATTATATCGATATTGACATGGCTAGTACAATGTCAGTATAAGCACACAGTGGACATTATATCGATATTGGCATGGCTAGTACAATGTCAGTATAAGCACACAGTGGACATTATATCTATATTGACATGGCTAGTACAATGTCAGTATAAGCGCACAGTGGACATTATATCGATATTGGCATGGCTAGTACAATGTCAGTATAAGCACACAGTGGACATTATATCTATATTGACATGGCTAGTACAATGTCAGTATAAGCACACAGTTGACATTATATCTATATTGACACGGCTAGTACAATGTCAGTATAAGCGCACAGTTGACATTATATTGATATTGACATGGCTAGTACAATGTCAGTATAAGCACACAGTGGACATTATATCGATATTGAGATGGCTAGTACAATGTCAGTATAAGCGCACAGTTGACATTATATTGATATTGACATGGCTAGTACAATGTCAGTATAAGCACACAGTTGACATTATATCTATATTGACATGGCTAGTACAATGTCAGTATAAGCGCACAGTTGACATTATATTGATATTGACATGGCTAGTACAATGTCAGTATAAGCGCACAGTTGACATTATATTGATATTGACATTGCTAGTACAATGTCAGTATAAGCAAACAGTGGACATTATATCTATATTGACATGGCTAGTACAATGTCAGTATAAGCGCACAGTTGACATTATATTGATATTGACATGGCTAGTACAATGTCAGTATAAGCACACAGTTGACATTATATCTATATTGACATGGCTAGTACAATGTCAGTATAAGCGCACAGTTGACATTATATCGATATTGACATGGCTAGTACAATGTCAGTATAAGCACACAGTTGACATTATATCTATATTGACATGGTTAGTACAATGTCAGTATAAGCGCACAGTTGACATTATATTGATATTGACATTGCTAGTACAATGTCAGTATAAGCGCACAGTTGACATTATATTGATATTGACATGGCTAGTACAATGTCAGTATAAGCACACAGTTGACATTATATCTATATTGACATGGCTAGTACAATGTCAGTATAAGCGCACAGTTGACATTATATCGATATTGACATGGCTAGTACAATGTCAGTATAAGCAAACAGTGGACATTATATCTATATTGACATGGTTAGTACAATGTCAGTATAAGCGCACAGTTGACATTATATCTATATTGACATGGCTAGTACAATGTCAGTATAAGCACACAGTGGACATTATATCGATATTGACATTGCTAGTACAATGTCAGTATAAGCACACAGTTGACATTATATTGATATTGACATTGCTAGTACAATGTCAGTATAAGCACACAGTGGACATTATATCGATATTGACATGGCTAGTACAATGTCAGTATAAGCACACAATGGGCATTATATCTATATTAACATGGCTAGTACAATGTCAGTATAAGCGCACAGTTGACATTATATTGATATTGACATGGCTAGTACAATGTCAGTATAAGCACACAGTGGACATTATATTGATATTGACATGGCTAGTACAATGTCAGTATAAGCACACAATGGACATTATATCGATATTGACATGGCTAGTACAATGTCAGTATAAGCGCACAGTTGACATTATATTGATATTGACATGGCTAGTACAATGTCAGTATAAGCACACAGTTGACATTATATCTATATTGACATGGCTAGTACAATGTCAGTATAAGCGCACAGTTGACATTATATTGATATTGACATGGCTAGTACAATGTCAGTATAAGCGCACAGTTGACATTATATTGATATTGACATGGCTAGTACAATGTCAGTATAAGCAAACAGTGGACATTATATCTATATTGACATGGCTAGTACAATGTCAGTATAAGCGCACAGTTGACATTATATTGATATTGACATGGCTAGTACAATGTCAGTATAAGCACACAGTTGACATTATATCTATATTGACATGGCTAGTACAATGTCAGTATAAGCACACAGTTGACATTATATCGATATTGACATGGCTAGTACAATGTCAGTATAAGCACACAGTTGACATTATATCTATATTGACATGGCTAGTACAATGTCAGTATAAGCGCACAGTTGACATTATATTGATATTGACATGGCTAGTACAATGTCAGTATAAGCGCACAGTTGACATTATATTGATATTGACATGGCTAGTACAATGTCAGTATAAGCACACAGTTGACATTATATCTATATTGACATGGCTAGTACAATGTCAGTATAAGCGCACAGTTGACATTATATCGATATTGACATGGCTGGTCAGTATAAGCACACAGTGGACATTATATCTATATTGACATGGCTAGTACAATGTCAGTATAAGCGCACAGTTGACATTATATCGATATTGACATGGCTAGTACAATGTCAGTATAAGCACACAGTGGACATTATATCGATATTGACATGGTTAGTACAATGTCAGTATAAGCACACAGTGGACATTATATTGATATTGACATTGCTAGTACAATGTCAGTATAAGCGCACAGTTGACATTATATCGATATTGACATGGCTAGTACAATGTCAGTATAAGCACACAGTGGACATTATATCGATATTGACATTATACAATGTCAGATATTGACATTATATTGATATTAACATTGCTAGTACAATGTCAGTATAAGCACACAGTTGACATTATATTGATATTGACATGGTTAGTACAATGTCAGTATAAGCACACAGTTGACATTATATTGATATTGACATGGCTAGTACAATGTCAGTATAAGCACACAGTGGACATTATATCGATATTGACATGGCTAGTACAATATAATTTCACTGACGTTGCCACTGTATTGTTATCCATGTGTCGAACCTCCGCTTGTGTCGACGTCAGGTGCTTGCTTTACTATAACGACTAGTTGAATGTTTGTTTGTCCCAGTGGATCCGCCCACATTGACAAGGGACGGCAATGTAAGGGCATGTTTGGATGACTGGAAATGAGTATGAAAGTTATCAGATGTTCCCATATGACAGTCGATTACCATTCGTTCATTTCAATACTTCCAGGTGTAGCTATTTTATGACTACTACATATAACTGTGATAAAAGGTTGATTTTCATAGCGGCTTAATATGTGGATATTATAGAAGTGGGTTGGCGTTGTGGAGACTTTGTTGTATGTACTGGGTGATTGAGTGGGGCAGAAACTGTGACCTGACCATCACGACATGAGAATGTAAGGCAGTTTAAAGGGTTTAGGTTCGGGTGATGTTTAAAACTGGTTCTGGTTAAAACCAGTAACCTCGGCCTCGATTTGCAAACAAACCATTACACATGACTAGACATGTTAATCATTCATTTATATTGTGTTAGGGTTGAGGTTAAGTTGTCCTAACCAAGGTAAAATGTGGTGTACGTGCCTCGTGCCTTGCTTTCAATCCTCGTTATCGTATATTCTTTTTGACCTGAAGTGAATGTAAGTAGAAACGCTCATATATATAATTAATTTGGAGTAAATCTAACACGATATGATTATCTGCCATGGGCATAGGAACGGTTTTCAGAGAGGGGGATAATTTATGAAAAGTATTGAAAATCAAAATGAAATTGTAGTTATGGTAAGGTAGATATGGTTTCGTCTTGAAAAAAAGTCCACGTTCTCTCTCACAGTCAACAGTCACTCACTCTCTCTTTCACACGCGCGCACACACGCACGCACACACACCTACACACACACACACACGCAGACACACACACACACACACACACATCTTCACTAATCTCTATATAGGAAACCAACTGTTTCACATAGTCTGCCATCAGGTTTTGTGTCACCTGAGCACAGTGGACTGTGATTTATGTATATAGATGTTCTACTTGTCCAGCTCAGATTATCATCACGATATATCAACATGATATCACAGTTCCAAGTTTGAAGAGTTCAGTATATTAAATTTGTTTCCTAAAGCGTATCAAATATGATCATGAAACACGCTATTGACATTTGCTGTCACTGATACTTTAATGAACAGTCATTTGTAGCTCATCTGACAGAAAGTCAAGTGAGCTGATGCCAAGTTTGTCCGCCGTGCGAACGTCGAGATCTATAGTTGACATTTGAACTTCCACCATACCGCTATAGTGACTTATAAAGCTGGACATTCACACATGTCTTCCCACAGATGATGGCACCCCAATGTTTTAAAGAGGTTCGAATCCGACTTTCAATATGGCCGCCGAACATATGAGTGGCGATTGCATAGACATACATATTCAGGTTTTCACACTGACGAATGTCAAAGTTAAATTTTCTGTGATATTGTGAGGATTATCATGGGAAAACATCGTCTTTTTCAGTTTTTATTGTTAACGGTTGATGCTGACAGCGGTTTGACTAAGACGCTGACAAACAAAGCTACCCAGATGAAGATTCAGTTCGAGCAGAGCTACAGGTATTACCTATCAAGTGAAGGCCAACAGCGGGACCCTAATGACCGCACTGGGGGCTTCCTGGGGTCACACAAACGGGCGTCGGGGGCGTACGCTTTCGTCCCGAAGGAAGGTCAAGGCCCTGTTAGACTGAGCGGCCATGACACTAAGGGCGTCAACGTCAAGACATTTAAGGTAGGCATCCACCAGGAGTATGTCATGATTATGCTCTCGGCACCTGTAGCATGGGACGTCCTCATCCCCTTCATCAGCTAATTATATTGATCACTTTACAGCCTTTGCACATATCACCGGTATTACAGGAGAAAGAAATTGTATACGTGTACAGAGTTAAGGGTCGGGGTGTCAGACCAGGCTCCATCAGTGGCTGACCTTGCCCAGGTACGATTAATTATCGTGATATTGTTAGAACATTCCTGGTGATGTAACTAGCAAACACAATGTTGATCTGAAAGGACTGTTGTGCAATTTTCAATCATATAGGTCGTATCCATTACCTGGTGCCCCTAACCGGCATTGCTGGTATATTGCTGAAAGCGGCATAAAGTAACTCACTCACTTGCTACCGGGTCTTGCTTGTTCATGATTAATAATGCAGAGTTTGCCATTTGCGTATTGCAGGGTTTGAACGCTCTAGAGATCCATCAGGAGTTTTCCGGCTGGGTAACCCAGGTGATCAGGCTGTATGACGGAGCACCATACCTGGAGATGGAGTGGACAGTGGGGCCTTTACCTGACGAGTAAGTACAGGTAGCAAGTCAACACGACCTACACACAGACATTTAATTCTCGTGGTAGATGACAGTCATGTAAAACAATTCAGCGGCTGCTACTAAGTAGCAACGTGAATCACACTCAATAACACGTCAAGATTGGAGTAGTTGTTGTTATCCTGGAATGGGGGACTTGTTCATTGGGCTATGTTGAGTACACTGGGCTATGTTGAGTTCACTGGGCTATGTTGAGTACACTGGGCTATGTTGAGTTCACTGGGCTATGTTGAGTTCACTGGGCTATGTTGAGTACACTGGGCTATGTTGAGTTGGGCTATGTTGAGTACACTGGGCTATGTTGAGTACACTGGGCTATGTTGAGTACACTGGGCTATGTTGAGTTCACTGGGCTATGTTGAGTACACTGGGCTATGTTGAGTTCACTGGGCTATGTTGAGTTCACTGGGCTATGTTGAGTACACTGGGCTATGTTGAGTTCACTGGGCTATGTTGAGTACACTGGGCTATGTTGAGTTCACTGGGCTATGTTGAGTACACTGGGCTATGTTGAGTACACTGGGCTATGTTGAGTTCACTGGGCTATGTTGAGTACACTGGGCTATGTTGAGTACACTGGGCTATGTTGAGTTCACTGGGCTATGTTGAGTTCACTGGAGCTATGTTGAGTTCACTGGAGTTTGAGTTCACTGGGCTATGTTGAGTACACTGGGCTATGTTGAGTACACTGGGCTATGTTGAGTTCACTGGGCTATGTTGAGTACACTGGGCTATGTTGAGTTCACTGGGCTATGTTGAGTTCACTGGGCTATGTTGAGTTCACTGGGCTATGTTGAGTACACTGGGCTATGTTGAGTACACTGGGCTATGTTGAGTACACTGGGCTATGTTGAGTTCACTGGGCTATGTTGAGTACACTGGGCTATGTTGAGTTCACTGGGCTATGTTGAGTACACTGGGCTATGTTGAGTACACTGGGCTATGTTGAGTTCACACTGGGCTATGTTGAGTTCACTGGGCTATGTTGAGTACTGGGCTATGTTGAGTACACTGGGCTATGTTGGAGTACACTGGGCTATGTTGAGTTCACTGGGCTATGTACACTGGGTATGTTAGTACACTGGGCTATGTTGAGTTCACTGGGCTATGTTGAGTTCACTGGGCTATGTTGAGTACACTGGGCTATGTTGAGTACACTGGGCTATGTTGAGTTCACTGGGCTGGCTATGTTGAGTTCTATGTTGAGTTCACTGGGCTATGTTGAGTACACTGGGCTATGTTGAGTTCACACTGGGCTATGTTGAGTTCACTGGGCTATGTTGAGTACACTGGGCTATGTTGAGTTCACTGGGCTATGTTGAGTACACTGGGCTATGTTGAGTACACTGGGCTATGTTGAGTATCACTGGGCTATGTTGAGTACACTGGGCTATGTTGAGTACACTGGGCTATGTTGAGTTCACTGGGCTATGTTGGAGTTCACTGGGCTATGTTGAGTACACTGGGCTATGTTGAGTACACTGGGCTATGTTGAGTACACTGGGCTATGTTGAGTACACTGGGCTATGTTGAGTACACTGGGCTATGTTGAGTTCACTGGGCTATGTTGAGTACACTGGGCTATGTTGAGTTCACTGGGCTATGTTGAGAGTTCACTGGGCTATGTTGAGTTCACTGGGCTATGTTGAGTTCACTGGGCTATGTTGAGTACACTGGGCTATGTTGAGTTCACTGGGCTATGTTGAGTTCACTGGGCTATGTTGGAGTTGAGTTCACTGGGCTATGTTGAGTTCACTGGGCTATGTTGAGTACACTGGGCTATGTTGAGTTCACTGGGCTATGTTGAGTTCACTGGGCTATGTTGAGTTCACTGGGCTATGTTGAGTTCACTGGGCTATGTTGAGTTCACTGGGCTATGTTGAGTACACTGGGCTATGTTGAGTACACTGGGCTATGTTGAGTTCACTGGGCTATGTTAGTACACTGGGCTATGTTGAGTTGAGTACACTGGGCTATGCTGTTGAGTACACTGGGCTATGTTGAGTACACTGGGCTATGTTGAGTACACTGGGCTATGTTGAGTACACTGGGCTATGTTGAGTACACTGGGCTATGTTGAGTTCATTGGGCTATGTTGAGTTCACTGGGCTATGTTGAGTTCACTGGGCTATGTTTAGTTCACTGGGCTATGTTGCAGAGAGAGGGAAACAAAGGAGGTGATATCCCACTTCGTTACCGACTTGCAGACTCGAGGGATTGTGTACACAGACTCTAATGGACGCGAGATGATTAAGAGAAGGTAACTGTCACTCATCTACATTTCGTATGTGTACAAATACAAAGATAACAGTAAATTTACTGATAGGAATGAATTAAAAAAGAAGTCATGAGTTGAAAGAAAATGTTATTCTTGGACGTCAGCAGCAACTGAATCAAGTCCAGGTTGCATGTCCCGCGAGTCCCAGTTATTCCCCTGTAACGTGTCCCGGTTATTCCCCTGTAATATGTCCCGCGAGTCCCGGTTATTTCCCTGTAACATGTCCCGCGAGTCCCGGTTATTTCCCTGTAACATGTCCCGTGAGTCCCGGTTATTTCCCTGTAACATGTCCTGCGAGTCCCGGTTATTTACGTGTAACATGTCCCGCGAGTCCCAGTTATTTCCCTGTAACGTGTCCCGCGAGTCCCGGTTATTCCCCTGTAACATGTCCCGCGAGCCCCGGTTATTCCCCTGTAACATGTCTCGTGAGTCCCGGTTATTTCCCTGTAACATGTCCTGCGAGTCCCGGTTATTCCCCTGTAACGTGTCCCGCGAGTCCCGGTTATTCCCTGTAACATGTCCCGCGAGTCCCAGTTATTCCCCTGTAACATGTCCCTCGAGTCCCGGTTTTTCCCCTGTAATATGTCCCGCGACTCCCGGTTATTTCCCTGTAACATGTCCCGCGAGTCCCAGTTATTCCTCTGTAATATGTCCCGCGAGTCCCGGTTATTCCCCTGTAACATGTCACGCGAGTCCCGGTTTTTCCCCTGTAATATGTCCCGCGAGTCCCGGTTATTTCCCTGTAACATGTCCCGCGAGTCCCAGTTATTCCTCTGTAATATGTCCCGCGAGTCCCGGTTATTCCCCTGTAACATGTCACGCGAGTCCCGGTTATTTCCCTGTAACATGTCCCGCGAGTCCCGGTTATTCCCCTGTAACATGTCCCGCGAGTCCTGGTTATTTCCCTGTAACATGTCCCGCGAGTCCCAGTTATTCCCCTGTAACATGTCCCGCGAGTCCTGGTTATTTCCCTGTAACATGTCCTGCGAGAACCGGTTATTCCCCTGTAACATGTCACGCGAGTCCCGGTTATTCCCCTGTAACATGTCCCGTGAGTCCCGGTTATTTCCCTGTAACATGTCCCGCGAGTCCCGGTTATTTACGTGTAACATGTCCCGCGAGTCCTGGTTATTTCCCTGTAACGTGTCCCGCGAGTCCCGGTTATTCCCCTGTAACATGTCCCGCGAGCCCCGGTTATTCCCCTGTAACATGTCTCGTGAGTCCCGGTTATTTCCCTGTAACATGTCCTGCGAGTCCCGGTTATTCCCCTGTAACGTGTCCCGCGAGTCCCGGTTATTTCCCTGTAACATGTCCCGCGAGTCCCGGTTATCTCCCTGTAACATGTCCCGCGAGTCCCGGTTATTTACGTGTAACCTGTCCCGCGAGTCCCAGTTATTTCCCTGTAACGTGTCCCGCGAGTCCCGGTTATTCCCCTGTAACATGTCCCGCGAGCCCCGGTTATTCCCCTGTAACATGTCCTGCGAGTCCCGGTTATTCCCCTGTAACGTGTCCCGCGAGTCCCGGTTATTCCCCTGTAACATGTCCCGCGAGTCCCAGTTATTCCCCTGTAACATGTCCCTCGAGTCCCGGTTATTCCCCTGTAACATGTCCCGCGAGTCCCGGTTATTTCCCTGTAACATGTCCTGCGAGTCCCGGTTATTTCCCTGTAACATGTCCCGCGAGTCCCGGTTATTCCCCTGTAACATGTCCCGCGAGTCCTAGTTATTTCCCTGTAACATGTCCCGCGAGTCCCGGTTATTCCCCTGTAACATGTCCCGCGAGTCCTGGTTATTTCCCTGTAACATGTCCCGCGAGTCCCGGTTATTCCCCTGTAACATGTCCCGCGAGTCCTGGTTATTTCCCTGTAACATGTCCCGCGAGTCCCGGTTATTTCCTGTAACATGTCCCGCGAGTCCCAGTTATTTCCTGTAACATGTCCCGCGAGTCCCAGTTATTCCCCTGTAACATGTCCCTCGAGTCCCGGTTTTTCCCCTGTAACATGTCCCGCGACTCCCGGTTATTTCCCTGTAACATGTCCCGCGAGTCCCAGTTATTCCTCTGTAATATGTCCCGCGAGTCCCGGTTATTCCCCTGTAACATGTCACGCGAGTCCCGGTTATTTCCCTGTAACATGTCCCAAGTGAGTCCCGGTTATTCTGTAACATGTCCCGCGAGTCCTGGTTATTTCCCTGTAACATGTCCCGCGAGTCCCAGTTATTCCCCTGTAACATGTCCCGCGAGTCCTGGTTATTTCCCTGTAACATGTCCTGCGAGAACCGGTTATTCCCCTGTAACATGTCCCGCGAGTCCCGGTTATTCCCCTGTAACATGTCCCGCGAGTCCCGGTTATTCCCCTGTAACATGTCCCGCGAGTCCCAGTTATTCCCCTGTAACATGTCAAGCGAGTCCCGGTTATTCCCTGTGACATGTCAAAAGAGTCCCTGTTATTCCTCTGTAATGTGTCACGCATGAAGTTATTTTTCAATAGTTATGAGGAAACTAATGTTATTTTGCACGACTAATAATAACCTATCCTCTTACAAAGTGTCTACATGTCAGGAAATACTCAAATAAAGACCTAGCAAGGTTCGTCCAATTACAATGTCTCGCCATGGTCGTGGATGGTCCGCAGGAATCAGAGTCTGGTAACTACACTTTATCGGTTTCGCATCTGTTGCCGACTATCCATCACTCAATTAATCACACTCTCATTAGAAAAGCAAACTCGTTTCTTTTTTCAGACTAGATAAACGTGAGACCTGGAACCTGACTGTGACAAGCCCTATTTCAGGCAATTACTATCCCGTCACTGGCAGAATCGCTCTACAAGTAAGGGAAACAATTACATTAATCGACGTACATGTACTTTCGCCGAAGTGGGCGTTTAAATCCGTCGGGCGTACCGTAGCCACTGACTGGCACTAATCTAATGCGATTTCCCTCTCAAAATGAAATTTTAATTTCAGTTTCATTTTTCCACTAGAGTAGCTCTTTTGATTACGTGGAAAACATTAACAAAACTTTAAAGGGTAAAGTTTTAAAAATAATGATGTTGATATTTGAAAGATTAATTGGCACTAACTACTTAATGATAGCGGTGGCCGCTGCACCAAAAACAAATACACTTCATGCTGATCCCACATCGGCAGTTTAATAAAGAAATGGTTATTCAAATGAGGGGTCCTGGAGGAATCAGAGGGGGTAACGGTTGCCCCTCGACACGAGCAATCCCTGGGTTCCATTCCTCAATGTGATGCTTCCCTGTGTGTCATTGGTACTTGGTGATATGATGATAGTTGTACACTTGTTTAGACCGCCATATAGCTGGAATATGGCTGAGTAAAACTAAACTCACTTGTTTAGAGTTTCCACCTTTGTTTGTTTTTCTTCGTGAAGCTTGGAGTCAAATTGCCCACTAAAGGATGCACCCTCTGAAGCATTCTTAACAACTCTGTCAACCTATGATTATTTTAGAGCTGACTTCAACGTTGTTGTGTTTATAGTTTAAACATGAAAACCCACGTGCGTATCGTTTTGTGCGTCTATATCTCCACAAACGACATGCCATATTGGGGTAATTGTTTTAAATTATATACAATTTTAACTTCACTAACTGTGAAATTCAAGGAAATTGTGCACACAAACATCGCCGATTCTATTATCAGTCATGCTGTTGATCACTGGACTGTCTGGTCCAGACTCGATTATTTACAGACCGCCACCTTATAGCTGGAATCTTGCTGAGTGCGGCTTAAAACTAAACTCACTCACTCACTCACTCACTCACTGACTGTAATCAGTCAGATAGGAAACAGTAACCCAGGAGTCGGCGTAGCCTACACTGGTTGCGGTATATTGAAACCTAGATGAAAAACATCAACCAGTCTTGGGCCATAAATCACTTTCAATATATACAGTTGACCGTTCCCTGCTGTTAGTGTTTCAGTGTACATGATACGATAATGTAATTACTGTTTTATCCAGGATCAAGACAAGCAGGCCCAGTTGACGGTTCTGACAGATCGCTGCCAGGGTGGAGCCAGCATCAACGATGGGGAAATCGAGCTACTGGTAACTTATTCTGTCAATATTATCTATAACAATTCTCATACACTGACAAGACAGACAAATGGAATGTTAGGGTATGCTTTTAACCACCGGTTGATCGGTTTTGTAACTCGAATTCATACAAGACCACGGGATAAAGCTTGAAAATATTGTCGCGGCGGAAAGCTACATTCACTTGCTATTGATTTTGAGAGTTCCTTAGCTTACCTTCCCCTCGGGTAATCAGGGCGCCAAGTTATAGGCACGTACGCTTGTACAAACCCCGACCCCCCACCCCAACCCCCCCACACACAGACACACGTGCACGCTCACATGCACGCACGCTCACAGACACACGACGGTATGAACCCATGGCATACAGACATACCGTTTGGATGAAACCTTTACGCAACTATTGACTTTCCTTTGCAGCACTGGGATTTCAATAAGCATTTCATATTACTCGATGACATCATCATACGGCTCGCCAGGTCAACCGTCTGTGGAGATGTAAACCATTATTGTATTTGAGCGATTATAAATTTTAAGCAACGACACCACAATGCAAAGCTAGTCGAGCAGTGGACTGCAGATGTCGCTTTGAGTTTCTTGCTTTGTTTTATAACGAAATCGATGCTATACGTATTTTGTTTTCATGGCACAGTTGTATGCAGCTTAGATTCACACACAGATAATGATGATGATAGGCGGTGACGCTGATCCGGTAACCCCGCTACTCGCTGTGCAGGGTTATACACCATAGACATTCCCGGATCCGCTGACTTGGTCTGAATCCGAGATTGACCATGATATAGCACCATACCAGAAGGGTTCCTGGAGGGTTCCCATACTAAAATATACAGACATAGACATAGTGCATATGTAGTGATCCGTGAACATACGGGTCAGAATTGATCTTCAGCAACCCATGCTTGTCATAAGGGTCGACTAACGGGATCACAAGAAAAGAAGTAGCTTGTAGAATCTTTAGGGACAATCTGTTTTGAAATTTGTTGGAATTGTCTTGCCACGACGAGGGAAAGCCACTGTCGGCTGATGGTTGAATAAGTCTTCATGAGTTGTCTCCCATTTCCAGGTACACCGACGTACGTTCAAGGACGATGACCTTGGAGTGCAGGAGCCGCTGAATGAGAAAGGGGTTGACGGCAGAGGTCTCATAATCAGGGGTAAAAATAAGGATACGGCTCAAATAGTGATCGGAAAGTTTCGTTCATACGATGGAGAGTGACACTGAGACACATTTGCATTTGTAGAGGGGTTCTGTGTTCTCTATAATACAGTTACACATAAACAATTTGTTTCGGAAGGGCCTGGTGACATGCGACTGAATGTGTGATTTATGGAGTTGACTCACTCACTTTCACGGTCTTATTTAAAATGCATTGGAATGATAAGTATGTAAAGTGTAAAGCAGGTTAATTGATATGGAGTTTACTTTTAAAGTGATGCTAACAGCTGTAGGGTTGCTAGCAACAACACAGAACTGATGTACTTGAAGGGGAAGTTGTAGGGAAACGGAACTTTAGGTCAAGATGTTTTAGGTCATTCACACGTAGGTGGGCAACCAATTGAAATACATATTTGCCGGTGGTTTACTTTAACGAAGTTTCATGACCAAGCATTAATCTAATCAAACCGAAGAAGAAATCTCTTGTGATATTTTCACTCTGCAAACTCCCACCCATCGTCGAGACTTGAAGCCGAGACATCATTGCATTGAACAGTTGTATAACACAGCTGCATTCGTTTGGTTTTTATCATTTGTAATTGCATACACGATCACATATTTTGGCTTTTTTATATTGTAGGCAAACACTACGTATTTCTGAACACGATAGAGAAGACAGGTCAAGATTTCCGACCCCTGGGGCTGCAGTTCCATCACCCACCGACAATGTCGTTCTCTGCCCCTCAGCAAGATCTGACAGATTCTTTGCGTACACAGGTGAAAAACACGCTTTGTTCAATTGACAGTTTTTCCATCATTTACGAAACAGAATAATGTTTAGTGCCCAGGGCGAGTTGAAGAAGATTGAAGTCAATCAACGTTGTTAAAAAAACATACTTGAAAGAAAATGTAGCATCTGTAAGCAAACAATTGATCATTCATTCCAAGATATCAAACCCAAGAACAGACTGAAAAACGGTCGTGTTTGGTTGCCAATAGCAATAGCAACTTTTGCGAATACGATCCATAACGGGAGACAACTCTACCACTCCTTTGTCGCTTACGCCGATTTGTTCCGAAGCTCCCGTAAAGTTTCTGCGGCACCAGATATTTTCCTTATTGTAGAATGTTTCAACTATCCACCAACAGTGTGCACCAGGAACAGGTCTACAGATTGTTCAAACCTATTGGGAAGATCATATAGAGAAGCAATACCAGTTTGGGTTCATAGAAGCATCCGTCCCAATGCTTCCAGACGACCTGAACGACAAATCTGTCAGCAGGACCTATCAAACTGTTTAATATCGATGTGACTAATAAGTATTTTTTTCAGCGTGAAACGCGGTACAATGTCTACAGTTAAGCGGCAATGAAGACATTGCATGTTTTACATTTCAGTGGTCAGGGTTGTCTGCCCCTCTCCCGAGTAACGTGCACCTGCTGACCTTGGATCAAGTGCCTGGCAAGGTTAATAAACTGTTGCTGAGATTAGAAAATATTTTTGAAAAACGGGAGCTCGACGAATCGGAACGAATTGCAGAATTAGATTTAGAGGTGAGTCCACCATCGTAATAATTGACAAATATCGGTATATAGTTCGGCATTCATTGTTTGACTGATAGTTACTTTACAGTTAGTGTGAAGCCCATATCTGGTGTCCCCCGCTGTTATACTGCTGGAATAAAGCGAAAAACGGAGTAAAACCATACTCACACAATACTTTGCAAGTTTTTCCCTTAAAATCATACATACATAGATCGATAGATAGATAAGATGGTAGTGGTAGTAGTAGTGGCAGTGGCAGTAGTAGTAGTAGTAGTAGTAGTAGTAGTAGTAGTAGTAGTAGTAGTAGTAGTAGTAGTAGTATGGAGGACTTCGCTGGTTGATTTAAATTCTAAACGTTTTTATGTTTCAGGATGTATTTGCCAAGTTTAGAGTGACTGGAGTAAGGGAGTTAACTCTTGGTGCTAACCACGACGTGAGCAGTGTGCGTCGACTGAGGTGGATGAAGCCTGATGGGAGTTTAACACCTTCACAAGTCGGTACGGTCTTCTGTACTTCATTGACGTATTAAGTTTGACATTCCTCAGACAGTATTTGATACATTCTCTTCTTAGATACCAGCAATTGCTTTCGTCAAATTCGTTTGTGGTTTGGTGGTTAAGCTACTATTGTTCCATTGAGAGGTGATACAAGTATGCGATACACGTATATATTATCTAATAGTAATGAAGTGTATAGAAGTTAGTTTCAAGAACAGTATAAGAAGTGTGCATAATCCTTCGGACTTAAACTTTAGTTGTTTCTTGGAACCTAATATGCTGTCGAGATGTTCATTATACCAAACACACGGTAATGCTTCAAGTGATAGATGATCTGTTTAACGTGTGTTTGTGTTTACCAGGTTCCACAGAAGGGCGGTACAAACACGAGCCCCCGTTCACCATAACCCTCATGCCCATGGAGATACGAACATTCCACATCGACGTGATCCAGAAAAATTATCAATCGGGGACATGAACATTTTATGCACCATATGTATTTGAATATCGTATATTTTATTAAATACTCTATTTTTTCTAACACTGTGTCTTTTATCTGTTGTTATAACTGTGAATGGATGAATGAATTATTATATGCCGCAGTCAGCTATATATTATAGTTAAAAACACCTACTATTAACCTTTTACGAATTTGGCCTGTTGAAATGATACTTGGCGATTAACCTCTTTCAGGGCATTTGCCGTGATATACATCTCAGGCAAGTGTTACTTTGAGAAAAGTAAGACCTCGTATCAGACCTTTCTACCACCAGGAGGTCCTGCTTTGAGAAAAGTAAGACCTTGTACATTGCAATAGGTCTTTTCTGGAAATTGTGTGAGTTGGGTTTTACTAGGGGCCTTCATCAGTTTTCCCATAACAGCAGGACAGTCTGCACCAACAGGCTAGTTTTGTGATTGTAGTGAAACCTGCGAGGTTGGAAAGGTGCTGGCGAACCACGGGGGACACATCAGCTGCACATTTCACTCTATCTTTACCCTAGATAAAACAGTTCTGTAAGAAGACGATGCCGAGAACCCAGGAAGGGATTCAAACTCCGGACCTCTCTGTCCGAAGTCAGCGTCCAACCACTGACCTACATCTCGTCTTAGTCAGACAGTGAAACCAAATACGTAGAGTCTTTAATTCCGGGGAATAAATAAAAACGATACATTCTCGATATATCTGTTCAGTTTGACGGTATATTTTGGTCCTGATATTGTCACGGATTCCACCTTTGGTTCAGCTGATGGTAAGGTGCTAGATTTGGGATCATCGATCTCTTTGGTCCTCTTCACCCACAACAGATTCAATACACATGCCTTTTGATCCTCAGAAGCTCTATTGTACATCCTCACTGCTTCGATGCGATGTCCCACTCAGAGTCCGGCACCTAATCGCCAGCACACAAAGTCAGACGCCTAGCCCGCTCAGCCACCTTTTCTGAGGGTGTGGGTTCGAATCCCGGATGGGACTCAACCCAACAAAAGTACTAGAAACTAGAATCTGTACTTTACTAAGAAAGTATAATCCCAAATATAACATATGTTTTCTTGTTAACTATATAATCCTGCCATTCAATCACAACGTGTGCCCCATGAGATGTACAGCACTGTTACAGTTGCTTGGAAACATGGTAGCTTGTACGTTTAGGTACTTGTCTATTTGCCTTCAAACCAACTATTCACCCACCCCGGCTTGCAACAGGGTGCAGAGATGTCGGCCCGCAATACCAGTTGCCTGGCATAGACGTTTCACTGACCTTATAAGGTGTGACCAGCTGGGACTTGTGAAAAACACCGATCTCCCTTTACTTTGTTTAGCGGTGTAAAGTGGAAAGCACACTTCCTGTAAAACACTCTTCTGAAATAACTTACATAACGTCCTATTTAATGAGGATAGAAAGTATATTATGCTAGTACATAGTCAAAGTTTCAAGGTATTACAAAGCATAACAGGCGAGTAAAGAAGGCGAGTTATATTTTGTTTGGTCTCTAGTTTTTTAATCGCATCTTCATTTACACAAGTTCTGAATTTGTACTGTTTGAAAACGTCACGTAACTACATATTGACACTGGTTTGATATACCGCTAACTGCCGTACAGTGAAATAAGCGGTTGTGATGGAAACTGAAACTGAGAGTTAATTTATAAATGTGATAAGGTACGACTCCTCGCCTCCAACCGATGAAGTAGGACTGAGGGTATAGACAAGGTAAGCGAAGCTCCGAGGTCTTTCCGTGCCGATACAATCTTGCCTCGGTCAAACTGACTCAGATATATTACCTCGGAGTCGTGTTTTATCCTTCACTTCAATCAGCCAGATTTCACACTGCGCACAAATACACCATAGGTTTGTTATTTCGTTCGACTCCATAGTGTCGGGTTTTAACTGTATATGATGAAATTCTTCTTGATAAATTTACGAAAGTCTCAGTTGATGATAACATACTACATACCATGAAATATTTTGCGTGAAGCGATTGATGCAGTTACACAATCTGTTTTAGGTGTTGTGTGTTTTCTTTATCCCACAGTCGAGAAATTACTCTTTTACATTTCTCAAACACTCGGGCAACTTATTTAAGTCACCACTAACCACAACTCGTTATTTTGTGTGTTCATTGAGATACTGTCTATTAAGCAATGTTAAACATGTGCTAAGCTCAGTTGCGTAAGTGATTGTGATTTGTATATTACGTTCATGCATGATGTACATTTCACTGTGACAAGACCCTGCGTTCAGCTTCAACGCTGCGGCATTGTAAATGTGCACCTCAACCACAGCTACATTCAAACCATTCCTTCCCGTATTTGTGTGGGTAGCATGTGTTATGAAACCCGAGACAGCAATCATGTTTTCCTGTTACATTCTGAAACAGGAACCATATTAGTTACAATGCAATAATTCATTTTAAAGTCTCAGGAAAGTGTTTAGAAGTGACACACATAAAAGGTCCGAATTTATGGATGTCAACTTCCTTATTAACAGGAACACGACGTTTCGGATTATATTCTTACTACATCGGATGAATGAGAACCTTGGAAGCAGATTGCTGTACAAGTTCATGTGTGTCACGACGACTGCTAGCTATTCCAGGAAACTAGTGGAAAATAACTAGAAATGCAACGTCAAGGGAATGTGGTTAACTCAAGTATATTTAGACAACTAACTTTAGGCGCTTATTTCATACGAAACTGCACCTTTGCATCATATGCTCATTGTGTATTGCCGCATGCACAAGCACATTTTTGATGTACGCTATGTGCGGATTTGCAGACATTTCCAAGCATGCATTCAAAAGTTGACACAACAATAAATGAATGAGTATTTCCAATACATTCCTTTCAATTGTAATAAGTGCTAAAACTTTCGAATCTTTTCTAAGTTTACTTGGGTTGAAAATATGAATATTTTCTTAGGTGGGGAGACTATATATTTTTAAGTTTTGGAATGTTTTCATTCCTTAGAAACTTCCGTATCATTCCGGATATCACCGGTATATATTTGAACTGTTTTATATGCTCATATTACCAGTGTTAAAACAAAAGGATCACAAAAACTATAGAGTTTTTTAACCGGCGACAACATTACCGCGAGCGAGCGATTCGAATGCGTGTAGTTTAGTCAATGACAAAGAATATGTAGAGACATTTTTGTTCGCTAAGAGCAACATAAATAGTTACTTAAGTGTTGTGTTGTTTCTACTTGTCGGTACTTCAGTTTCTTCATGTGTACCACATGAGATGTCATTGTTTTCAAATGTATTGTTTGCGCATTTTGAACATTCATGTGTACCCAGTTGAAGGCTGAAGAAGTATCAGTTTGTACATATACCTCCACTCCTTTTTCTGTTTCTACTACCTCATGTATAATTGAAGAATACAATGCTACATAAGGGATCACACATGCACATCTTACACACAATGTACATATGGACGTACACCCACGCACATATGCTCACACACGTTACACACATTATAACATTATGGTAGCCTTTCCACATTCAATAAAATCAAACACTTATTCAATATCATAAATAAATGTTGATAAGATTTCTTTGCAAACAATGTCAAAATATAACCATGATTAAATAGACTATTTTAGTGTGTGTGACATGTCACCAATAAAGAGAACAAATTGCAAGATAACGGGACACCCATCTTCATGTCACTCACTAAAATATGGGACCGTTATGTCTTGAGAACAATGGTCGAGAATACTTCCACGACTGCATTTTGTAGTGTATATGTCGTACAACATCACGGTATGTAAAGCAGAGCGCAACAATATCTTCAATGATCATATTATGTAATCGCAGCTAATAGTACTGGCTATTGTACAATTCTGCTTACATATGAATGGCTGCGAAATATCCAGGTAACGGGTGTTCGCTGGACAATAGTGACCCTGAAACGAAAAGAAGCGGAGAAAACCAAAAAACTCCTGCCAGTTCAATGTTTCCATTTGAAAACAAAACTACGAGTCCATTACAATATTCAGTGATATTTCTCAAGGAAAGATTAACTTTACTTTTAACATGGTTTAACGTAAATAAATGTCTTCAATATTGCCGACTGCTGACTTCTCAGTACTATAATATATATGTTCTGAGGGTCTATGGCGTAGATAAAACAAGTGTACAACGACTCTTCTTCATGCGAATACCACCAGCAAGCGAGAATCAGGCCCTTACACTCCTAACACATCTGTTTCGTCGCGTGTAACGCGTTGTACATGAGGTTTGTCGAAGCACATTAATCCAGAAACATGAACGTGAGGCAGCATTAATATTTGGTAAACACCAAGAAGGGAGAGTAGAACCACCATGTCAATGTAGCCTCAGAGGTATAGCAGTAAACAAAGATCTTGGCAAGCAGAAGATTTCTTTAATCGAAAACACGCTGTGTTGATCACAGATACTTAAAAAAATAACTTATTATCTCTGTTGGAACAATGCACATGTACATAGTTGTTTTGGCCACACGACGTGTTTCGTTCAGACTTGTAATCTTGTCTTTTGTCGGCCCCGACCTCATCAATCAAGTCAGTTGGCTTGAATCCCGTACTCTACTCAACGGACGAATGACATCAACAATTGTAGTCCTTTTTTTCTTGTATTTTCTAGAGCACATTTTCCGTTTCCAATAAACGTATATTACTATCTGTACTTTCAACGATATCATTCACATAAACTATAAATAGTAGTGGTCCTAAGACCTATGGGTTTAGATTCAGAGTTATAACCGTTTATGACAAATTTCTACGTTCTATTTATAATGCTAGGGTTACACTATGTTCTCGGCGGCCACGGCAGCCGTTTCGCCGAAACGGGGACAAAACGGGATGGACGTGAGACAACGTAGGGGGACTGAATGAGCAAACGTGACATTCCGTGGATGCCGTACCAGATTTTTAAACTGTTCAAAAATTTGCCACGGCAGTCACGGTTCTAAGGAGAAACCTAGTAGGCCGTAAGAAAACGGGGGGAACGCAACCAAACGTCACAGCACGTAATAGGCCGTAACAAAACTTGAAGACGG